TCATTCTTGTAAGATATTCCCTTTTTCCATACAAAAAAAGACTCAATAAAAGATCTTCCAACAATTTCACGGTTCAGAAAACACACTTTTAAGTAGAAGTTTTTAGAACAGAATTTACTACGAGAATGTTGTTAATGCTGGTAACTCCGCAAGATCAATCCAATGATGGTTCCTAATTCTAATTTGATACAAACAGATTTGTTCAATTACGGTATCTTTCGGGCGTGTTACAGCGAGCTGATAAAGAGTCGCACAGGGTGAGTTGTGTACGACAAATTGTTCGACTAATGACCCGATCATTCATTTAATTGTTACAGGCTGATACACTCGTAGCGATTGTTCGCGAAATTGTTTCTCGTGCATCCCCAATTGAACGATCCTCGCCGAAACATAGGAGAAACATATAATATCGGGAGCTTTTCGACAAACAACCGACGCGATAGTCCGTGGTTAGCATTTACACTGGCGTTTGTGACTCCAGTCGAATAATCCCGGAACCTGTTATAGTCAGACACAACCCAAAATAGTCTGATAACCGGCTGAACTGAACCCGAAACAGTCGGCCGATATCCTACCAACTCAACTGTAATATCGATTGCGCCGATTAAATAATTTACATTCCGTATTTGAAAATTTATTCCTTCAAGTGTTAAATAATTTAGTTATCCGAATTAGTCAGTATTAACTAATTTGTTGTTAACTAAGCTTTAAACAGAGTTCCAGTTGGATATCTAATTTGAAATATTGAATAATTCTTGCAACAAAATTCGTAGCTGCGGAAATGTTATATTCATTTGAATTTCTCACTAAAAATTGTACAATTAAGAGAGAAGGGTTTTATCTCGTCACTTCTAAATGTATTGATCTTTCCTTGAAATGCTTTGCACAGATCTACTGAAGAGACTGCGGTTTAATGTCAGTGTGGTGAAATATATTGTGAGAGAGAGAGAGAGAGAGAGAGAGAGAGAGAGAGAGAGAGAGAGAGAGAGAGTGTGTGTGTGGGGAGTGTTTATGACGCGTGCAATAAGAGAGAGAGAGAGAGAGAGAGAGAGAGAGAGAGAGAGAGTGTGTGTGTGTGCAGTGTTTAAACGTCGAGTACTAAAGGCGAAACTGCTCTACAGTTGTGAAACACAGTGGTTTTCGTTCACTGCTCGTTTCCATTCAGCGGAAATTTATCGTCGCGATTTCGACGGCTCACAACCGTGAAAAGGGCGTGAATGCGATCGTTGTCGAAGCGTCGCTTCGAAGGGAAAGGGATGAACCGCCTTTGGGAATGCAACAAGTCCGCGAGATGCCTTCTTCTTCTTCTCATTATTCTTTTGTGTCGTTGGAACTTGGCCAAAGATGACCCTCTTGACAACCACTCTCGTTTCGCTTTTCACGTCTTCTTTAGTACTATGTATTCTTCTCTCTAAGATTTTCTTGGCAGCGCTTGATTACCAGTTTGGTGCTCGTGATAATTGCAGATTGCGTCTCTCACGAAATCTATTAGGTCTTGAAGAGATCTTAAACCTCAAATAAAACAGCCTAACCGAATAAAATAGAATCAGAAACATATGTCGCTAACTCGCTAACTTAAAAATGTGGGTAATACTTGACGTTGTGTCGATGACAATATTACTTACAAGTTTATGTTTTTGATCTAGAAGCAGTAAAAATGAAAAGAATATCGGCGATTAGTAATGTCTTAACTGAACATTATAATAAAATTTTTAAAACTATTTCAATTTTTCTCATAATAAAATTCATATTTTAATTTATTTAATAAAATACGTTTTTAAATCACGTTTTTAAATTGAATAAAATTCAAAATCTTTTCCTGAAGATGTTCGCCTAATATAACTATGTTCTTGATCTAGATGAAGTTCTAAATCTATATGAAATAATTTTTTAATTAATAAAAGTTGAATATAGAGATGTACAATTTTTATTGTCGAGGAAGATATTAATAAGAACAAAGCTATTTAAGAGATATGCTGTCTATTAATGACGTAAATCTTTTTTCAAATGTTTTTAATATTTTATGCGCGAATCTGAAGTAAAATTAGAAAATTCATTGTTTAACTCTTCATTATAAAATAAAGCTTTTCAATTAAAAGCGAATTCTCAACATTCATGTGAATCTTTCTTACTTGTGGATCTTTCTCGTTTGTGGATTATTCTCGATTGTGGCACGCTAATTGCAATAAGAAATTCTCGTGTTTGACAATGTGTTATTAAGTGGCATGGCTTACCGAAAGCCGCTTACATGCGTAGAGCGGCTTTGGAAAGCTGCCGTGCTCACTTCACTGCTTTCGATTGCATCGAGATTGCAGATTTCAAAGGGCTTCGTTCGCACTTCTGGTTCACCGTAATGATCAGCTATCTAAATTCGCGAAGCGTTCAATTTCGATCGTATCCTGCGAGATTTCTCAGCACTTTATTCACGATGCAATTTACATTAATGAAGAAATCGATCCGAAAATTTTACTTTCTCCTCTCTCTGCTTGATATAAAACTAGTTTAAATTTAACTTATTTATTACATATGCCAGTTGATGTTTCCTAATAATCTTTCTTGAATAATATATAGAAATAATTTCTATATTTTCCTACAGCCCTCCCTCAATATTCATATAAACCGGATATAATAATAATTTCGTATCGTGCATTGCACAAATGGATCGATCTGATACGTATTAATAACGTAATATTAATATAATATTAATACATCAATCGCTGATGAAAGGTGTTCACCACCATTAACCACCAATTTTGATGTAAATATCTGCACAGTTACGAATGATTTAACGATGCATGATAAATTTCCCTTCATTTTATAATCCCCTCTTTTAATAATCCAAAACGCCTAAGATAGATTTGCTACATAGTTGATACTTATTATCAAATCTTAATTAACATAATATTTTAGCCGCGGGTTTAAATTACTCGAATCTTGTAACCAATACAATACGTCTAAAGTTACATAGAGTTTCCTACCGAACTTGACGATGGAGTTAAGTTGTTAACAACTAGCGGCGAGCATTATCGACTCCTCCATTTGAGATCGAGGGCTGAGAGTCACGCTTGACCCAGGTTCGGTTACCACGACCGCTTTCGCTGAGTACATCATCGACATTCGTAATCGCGAGAGCGATATTATATCATCGACCTATCCCAACGTACGGAACCATGTGTCAGTCCGAACACGAGGGAGTCATCTATTATTCCACACGAAAGATTCTGCAATCATTTGTGTGAATTAGCGTTCCTGGGAATTACATCCGTGGAGTCTCATTGATCGTCATTAGAGAATGCTATTTTAATTTTGCAAGCGACGCGACTGTAATCTGAATTTAATGCTCGCACGTAATTATCTGCATCGCGGATGTGATATGGAAATTATTTCTCAAGAAAAATGATCAAAGACACGATAAGTATAATATATACACATAGATGTCTTAGGAATCCCAAATCTGGTATTAAAATCTCTAATAATGCAAGATAATTTTATCTCAATATGACTAACCTAAACGATTTTTGCTAACATAAGTCCAACATTGAAACTGGGTGATCAGATTTAAAATAAGAAATATTTCTGAAAATTAATTGAATAAAAATGAGACGTATTAGGCGTAATTACCATATTACGAATTTTTTTTATTTTGAATTCTAACGATATTCTTCGAGTGAAACATTAATTAAAGAGATGCAAAAAATATATATAAAATATAATCATAAAAATATTGCCTGAATTTTTCAACCCCTCAATAGAAATGTTGGGAGAAAATCTGCAAGAATATAGCACTAAGATTTTATAAATGCGTCTCTCCTAGGCTTCGTCCATCTTTCTGATTTCGTAGTCTGGAGAAATAGCATTTTACTTATCCTCGAGATTACTTCTAATGCGAAGCTACGAAAGAAATACGGCTTTACGCGTTCTGGGCGTATTTCTATTTCTTTATTTCGCAATTTTAGTGACTCGTGCCGCGACTCCAAAGGTCGTACAAAGTCATGCTCACGAAACTTCTGAATAGCGGAAAAGCGACATCAATCGATATCACTATAATGTGTAAAGAACTTTCAATCCCTTTTACATAATAAACGTGCAATGAGAATCGCACGAGCCAAACATATTTGTTAATACTGCATGTCTTGTGTCGAAACTTTGATCTCATACATTTGTTACACTTTGATACGCATTAGCTTAATTGACAACTTTAGGAAAATTGCAAACGGACAAGGTACCTGAATCTTTATATAGCCGAAGAAACTTTCTATCGTCAAGTATTTGTAATTACACTTTAAATTTTTAATAATAAAATTTTATTTAAGAGACAGATTTATAGATGCTAGAAATTTATACTCTGATCATTAAAATTGCAATACTAAGAAAGGCATGAGAGATATCAAAATAATATTTATATGCCAGATTATTTACGATTACATGGAGTATATGTGGGATTTAAAAGACAAACTGGTATTTTTACTAAATATATCTTATTTTCTTTCATATTCTATCATAACCTATCCATCTTACAAATTTCAATTTAGTATGATGCGTTTTTTTCTGTGCAATTTTAATGGCCAATAATGTATAAGTGAAATAGGCAAGTAGAAGAGCAAATTTTACTCACTAATTTTAGTTCGAACATCAGTCCAAAACGAGCAAAAGCGACTGCATGAAAACTTACTTATTTCAAGATTACAGTGAAGTTCAATACACTTATTGCATAGAAAATTGGTTGCGATTAATACAGAGAAGTTAAATGTAGATACATCATGAACAAATTTATCTCTACATGGAATAAATCTAGAAATTGATTATTTGCTTCTTCATCGAATAGAAATAGAACACAGAATTATCGTACGAGAGATATAACATGCAAAATACAAACAAAGTATAGATAGGAAGTGCGTACAAATTTTAATAATTTTATTAATCTTGCAAGTTCTTTGATATCTTTCGTATTTCTTTCAGTTTTTGTTATCTCACATATGTGTTCTGTTATTCGTTCGCAGGCAAAATTCCGCGTGATGGTGGAGGAGAACGCAGCAACCGGCGCCCGGCTGGATGGCGAGCTGGAACGCGCTAGGGGCGAGTGCGCCACACTTCGGGGCGAATTACGCGACGTTCGTGGCGCCTTACCAATCGTACTGAATAATAACAACGCCGGCAATGGCAGCTCTAACAGTAACAACAATTCTGGTACAGCAACCAGTGTTTCCAGTGGCAACGCGAACCCCGGTCAGGAAGCTGAGCCTCAGCAACAGGCACAACAGGAAGATGGCAAACGGCTTAGCGCTGGCAGCAGCCCCATCGAGAAGAGAAGCTCGGCCAGTGATAAATCCGCCAGTCCCATTGACAAACGGACTAGCCCGGTAGACAGGAAAGATAGAACCAGCCCTATCGAGCGGCGAGCCAGTCCTGTAGGTCTGTAACAAAAGAAATTTTTTATATTTTTAATATCTAATTATTTTCTTTATTCAACTTTCTGTGAACCTTAATTAAACGAACTTTTATTTTGTGAACTGCTCGTTTGATTTTCATGAAACAAGAAATTTAATTGTATCTCGACTTAATGGATCTCGCTTTAAATTACTATCTCTGCTCATATTTGTGTTCATTATTGCGTAATTTAATATTAAAGTAATTGGTGTAATTATACGATAAAATAAGATATTTATATTACGATGAATTTTATAACTTCATAAATTGTTGCAGCTTATTCTGTTACACAATATACAATTTTTAATTTGAAACGTAATTAAGTGCACACGTGCCGGTGAATATTTAAAATCGATTTTTTCGAAAACAAAACCTTATATGAAAAAATTTTATTCTGTTCTTTGTATCATCAATTACGAAACATTCTGTATATCCCATTTAAAAGTCATAATATTTGAACAAGTACCGAGAGCGTATAGCCAGCTCAAAGTGCGATTAGTAATATAAAAAGCCGTTGACTTTAAATAAAAAGATATTTTCGTACAATACTTTCATTGAAGGAGGAAACAAGATCTTAGAAGAACTTCACAGGTTGAATGTTGAAAGTTTATTTCGCGCCAAAGTATTTTCATAAAGACAGCACGGGTACAGAAATGCGTTTAAGCTGCAGGGCAGAAAGTTATCGACTTCGCGCAGGCACTTCGGCGGATAAGACTTTTTAAGAAGTTCGCAAGAATGAAATTTTAAGACGGCGTGGCGAGAATGTTTTTCGTATTTCCACGTTTATCTTAACTTCTCTGGCGAGTTATCCTATATATTTCACAGTTATGTGCTGTTACTTTTATGACTGACCATGATTCATAGTTTTCTCCGCGGCTTGAAACCAGAATTGCCGCCTTTAAACTACTTATTGCAACTCATAAGAGCTGAGTTCTTTATTAGGTTGCAGTAGTTATTTCGTGGAATATGAGGATTTACATCATTTTCGTCCTTTTTAACATATTTGCCCATTCCGAATAATGTTGGATATTAATTCGTCGCAGGGCTAATATTTTGAAAAATACATTTTCTATCAAGATTAAATCTCAAAAATTTAAACTGTATGGCGCTAAATGTAGGCGAGACTACACTTGGGGACATGTTGTACCACGAGACATTCTAATTATTTTTTGAATAATGAGATTTTTTTGATGTTGTCAGCTCAGTTATATCACTTTAGTTGCAAACTAATATAACTGAGTAACCAACATTAAAAATCTCGTTATTATTAAAAAAATAATTATGTCCTTAGGTACCACAGAGTCTCTCTTATACTATGTTTTGACACAAGAAATGTGTTAACGGGTTCATGAAAAACCTATTCACAAAAGATCAAAAATAAAAAGTGTACATTAATATATATTATACAATTCTTGTACACTCTCTCTCTCTCTCTCTTCCCTTTTTCTCTTCTCTCCTCTCCCTTCTCTCCTCTCCCTTCTCTCTTGTAGAGGAGAGACACGAACATACTCGCTAAGGGAGAGTAGACCCTGTGTGTAGATGCAAATTCGAGACGAATGCATTCGAAGCATCGTATCGATCATGCGCTTCACGTAGAGGTATTCATCGTCAAGATCGCCGGTTGAATCCATCTTATCGAGCACACTGCATCCGTCTCAGGTCGGACGCACGTTCCAATAAAGGCTGGCTTCATTCCAGCGATTTCTTCGTGCACCAATATAAGTCGTTCTCCGTTCGCTGCTACTTCTTTCCTCATTCTAACCCAATACATTCGAGTGCAATCGTTCACGAGTTGAGTTTTGTACGAGTGTGTCTATCAAGAATCATACTACATCATTTAAGAGCGATTAATGTGACTTTTAAATAAATGCGATTAGATTATGTTGTGTTAAATTTGTTGTACGCTAAATTTATTTAATTTATGATTTAAATTACATATTTATTGCAAATAGGCAGCTATGTTATTGTAAATCTATTAATTAGCTAATTGAATAAAACACACTGAATCAAATGTAGAAATGCTAATTTAAATAACGGTTCATGTAATTGGCATAAATTTGATGTTTTAACTAGGTGAAGAATTTCCTACAATTATTCTAAATAAGAGAAAATTTTAATATATACATACAAATTAAAAAAAAAAATTCTTTTCTATCGTGAAAAACATCAAATATTTACTTCAATAAATATATATATGTATATATATATATATATATTTATTTATTTATTTATTTATCTATACATATTTGAGTTTTTCTTGACATTTTAAAGCGTTCTCTCTTTCTTTCTAATTTATTCAAAAAAGTTTGAAAAATTGTCCTATTTTCATCATTAGAACGAAGAAATGGCTCCCCCCGCCGAAGGCCCAGCGAGAAAGCTCGCCGACCATTCGCCCCCGCTTTGGAGAAGACACGGCTGGGAGGGTCCGGGGGAATTGTGGATTCTCGATCGGGGAGCGCCAGCCCGGATCGAGGATCAACGACCCGAAGCAGCTTCCTGCACCGTGGTGGCAGCGATCGTTCCAGCGTGGAACGGCTCCGGATATCGGCTAACCGCGACTCCTTGCGATCCAACAAGGAGATGAACGACCATGATCAAAAGGACGTTGATAAGGATCTAGTGGATGGTGATGTGCGAGGCGATGAGGACAATGAACCTCCTGGACCAGCACCAGGCAGCAGACCATCATCCCCAGCTAATTCCCTCGGTACGTTAATAAACTCGGCATTTAATTAACAATGGACGATCAATCGATTTATTTTTCTTTATCCAATCTTGCCTTTTGAACAAAAATACGTCTCAATAGTTATTATTCTTTGTACTGAGAAAATGCGATGAATCTTAGAGTGCTATATCATTCCAATAGATGTATCTATATCATTATAAAAAATGTAAGCCACATTGTGAATTGTGATTTTGAAAATTAATATAAGTGTCGCACAATAATTTATGTTAAAAAAATAATACAAAATTATTTTCATATTTTATTTTATTTCTTCGCTTAATTGCGAATATGCGAAATCTTCTCGTATTTCTTTAAATTTATATTTATTTGAATTTTATACATGTAAATTTATATTTTATTATACATTCATATTTTATTATATTTTATTTATATTATATTTTGTATTTTGTATAATTTATTATATTAGGTGTTGGAATTAATTCGTAGCGTTTTACAAGTGATGGGAAGTACTTTCATTAATGTATTTTTTAATGCTCATGTGAAATAAATAACATTCTTTCATTAAAAACGCTACGAATTAATTCCAACACCTAATACTTTATTATTTTTTATTATTTCATATTTTATTACTTTTATATAACAGAATCTAATTTCGTCCAGATTAAATTCATATATGGAAAGAACGATTTTGCTAAGATATCAATAATAACTTAGGTAAATCTAAATATACTATACAGGTCTCTCTCTCTCTTTCTCTCTCTCTCTCTCTCTCTCTCTCTCTCTCTCTCTCTCTGAAAATAATTTTGTTGGACTGATAAAATAGTTATGTATGAAACTCAATCATGATGAGCAATGCTGTAAAAAGTTTTGGCATTTTAGCATCCAAATTGAATATCCTACATAATTATTTTTATAGTTACAACAAAATTATTTTCTAAATCTAGTTTTTAAATACTTATTTTTAGTTCAACAAAACCACTTTTTTGTATATTGATCATAAAATATGTATATGAATTAATTCTATTTTTAAATGATTTTTTTTTCTGATGCAGGAATCGGCGACCCGGTGGTGGCGTCTAGATTATCCAATATTCATGGCGGTGGACACGCGGAGCTGGCCAGTGCCAGAAGATTGCGATTGGAGAACGAACGGTTGGTAGCTGAGGTCGCGAGGTTGAGGAGATTGTTGCTGAGCGGTGCAGCGCGCGGCGAAGTCGGCGCCGAGGATGCTGCAATGGAGGAAGAGGCGCGGTTTGTCGCTCTAGAAATGGAATTGCAGCATGCGAAGGAAGCACTCCAGGCCTTGAAGGCTGATCGGAAGCGTCTCAAAGCGGAGAAATTCGATCTTCTCAATCAGATGAAGGCGCTCTACGGCACCCTCGAGGACAAAGAGCGTGAACTCCGCGATTTTATCCGAAATTACGAACAGGTGAGTCAGCGAATGATAAAACTTTCATGACTTTCTCTGAAATATTCTTAGATATTTTTTTTACCCTTCTGTCAATGCATAATTTTTTATCCTTTCATTATTGTATTTCACAAGGTTTCTTAAAAATGTAGAGTGAAAACAAGATAAAGTTTGTGAAGAAAAACTATTCTTTGTTGTTCGAAGAAGAATTTTTGAAGCGTCTTAAAAAACGAAATTTGCATATAAATGTAAAGGTTATTACTATTTAAAATTCAATATAACTACCCCTCCATGCATTAACGAAAGGGTTAATAAAATTGTTTTTCCCAAAAAATATTATAAAATAATGAAAAGTACGGTGAATAAGTGACATCTTATTGCGAGGAAGATGGTCAAGCAATCGTTTCATTCTGATAAAAGATTTAAATGCCAACTTTAAAGTATGTCTTTAGATTCTGTGAAGATATATTAGTTTGAAAAATTCTATTGATATAAAGGAACATCTATTCTCAAAGAGAGAAAAATATCTCTTTTGTGTGCGACAGTTACGATCAGATTTATATGAAAAGATTTCGATAAAATTATTGGAATTGAAGATATTGGAAAGATTTCCGCGATTCTTTCAAGCTTTGACGAGAATACTCTAAGATAGGTTTCTTATCGTTTATAATAATCGGCATCATAAAATGTGAAAATAATATTTCCACAATTCATAACGATGGAGGACTTTTGCTCTCGAGCTTTCACATTTCACATTCGTTAGACATCACATAATTTATCGAAGGAGTCGCATGTGGGAAATTTAATCGCAACATTTTTACATTCCTCGTACAGGAGCAATAAATAGTCGTGAAGTAAATAGTCTCTATGCCGGCTCCGATCGTAATTTGCATGTCTCATATAGAACGATCGATTTTCGATAGGAGCTACGGCGATGAATTAAGAAAGGTGATGGCTGAAACCGGAGAAATGTTCCGCTGTACTCGATATTTATGAACGTTCAATTTTCGAAATTGCCATCAAGCCGTTATAATTCCTTCTATATATATATATATATATATATCTTCTTTTTATTACCAATATAAAAATATTCTACGAGAAAAAAAATCCGCAATATATTTACTAATGGTCAAGCCAATATGTAGGACGGGCGATGAACGAAACAAGAGTTATATAGTTGAATTGCTGGGTCATTCACTTTTTAGAACGATTCACTTTTATAAGGTTTATGACTACGGCAGTGCTTGAAATATAACGTTCGAGAGGAAGCAATCCTCACCTTTTTCTAGAACAAGATATTAACTACCGTTGGCATAAAAAAGCGACTCCGCGACGAGAGCGTAGGATTTATAAATATCTAGCTTATGAAATTATTTTGTGTCGGCGCGTCTATTCAACTTCGTTTTCGTGTGACAGTATCCATTAACAATGTCTAACTTTGGACTTTTAAATCTCTCAACAAAGGACAGCCAAATTAAAATTCAAATTAAATCGAACTGACATTGCATATTGTTAAAAGAAGGTTCTGCTGAGATTCGAAATCTCTGAGAAAGAAGAAGTACTTGATCTTGTTATCGTAACTGTGTGTTGTTCGATAAAATTGATACAATTTGTCGATCCAACAAGCGAGCGGTTTAACTATAAAAGCTAACAAAATTTTCTGCTCACTAAAGTGGCCGGTTAATGAAAATTGAGAACAACGCAAAACGAGCGACTAACGAAACCGCTTCACGGCGGGTTTTAATTTCGCCTCTAATGCGTCTTTATGAAGCGACGAGGAAATATCGGGAGAGGAAAAAAGCCCGGGAGGGTCCATCGTTCGTGCAACAACGATTCCCAGAGCCGCCATTGTATGGACGTAGTTAAAAAACTTTTATATACGCAATCGGTACCGCTGCGGGCAGTTAATCAGTAATTGGCTCGTTCTTGAAACTTTATTAATCCATAACAGCACGTAAAAAATGTTGTATGAAGACGCCCGTGATGTCAAACGTTAAAAGAAAGAATATTAAACGTTATGATATTAAATATTAAAAAACATTATAAGAAAAGTAAAAGAGATTTGTCGTATATCAGTATTTGTCGTATAAGAGTAAAAGTTATCAACAATTTAAAAGCACTTTTGACGATCGTTCAACCATGCTTCAATTTTCCAAAGCGCATGTTGCGCTCGCGGCTGCAAGCGACATCATGCCGGTACACGACAGCAATTTTGCCTGTTAAATACTTTCATTAAACTTGCCGGAATTTCTCATTTTGTCGAGACCGTTATAGCCGCAGTTATTTCAACTGCGTTAAATGAACATCGGCATCCGGGAACAATGTACACAGCCAGATGCATTGGACGTGTGATCTTTCAACTTTATCACTGAAAAAAGGCGCCATTGTTAAACTTATTAGCAACTCGTAGTATACTATTATGGTAGAGATGTATATTTTATGCAATTTGATGCTGATGCTCGTATCACATATCGACTTGATCTAGCCTCGAGCTAATTTCTCTCGAGATAAGATACAATGAAAGTGGGTGAAGTCATTACCTAGAGAAGGCTTAAGGACCAACTTCGAGAGCGCATCGCGATTGCCTCTCGGTATAATGGGGCCGTTTTGGTCTTAAGCCAATATGTAACGATGTGCCGAGACAAAGCGAGGGAATGTGGCAAGCTTTTGTCGCTACCGATTGTTATCAACTTTGGAACAAAGACCTGATTCAGTCTCGATTCACGAAAGGCCTGAGATTGGTATGCTTGTGCCTCAGAAGGCCTACGTGAAACGGTTCGTGCACAGACGCGAGATTATTCAGGAAACATGCGGGTCAAATCTCACTTTGTTTGTAACAAAATTAGTTGCGAAAAATAAAATGCGAAAATTAAAATACAAAGTTGAGAGATAAATTAAGAAAACAACAAATAACGAAAAGGTCTTATCGATTGGATCTTAATATTTAATGTACGAATTAATAAAGATACCCGTTATGGAATAAGAAAATCCAAGGCTTGAATGAACTGAGATATTTTTCATAATAAATTATTTACAGTTTTTTAAGATTAATTTATTAACATCAATATTATTAAATTATTTGGCAATTTAATTTGTGATATTACTATACCAGTACGGTTTAAGATTGCTTTAGAAAGACTGAAAATGATTTCGACATGCAGTGGAATGGAACACATGAGTCTAAATTTTCTAGAAATAAAATTAGTGAAATAAAAGTGTTTTTTTTTTAATAATTTTTCCTTATAAATAATAATTAGAATGTTTAGATGTCGGAAAAATGTTGAATTATATATCGCAAAATAAATATAGGAAACGAACTATTATTAGCAGAGATTAGCACAGTTGTAAATTTATGATAGCAACTTTGTTTTTTTTATGTCAAGATAACGTTATTGGCATGTAAAGAGCACTAAGAATAATTAATATTAATGTTCCGGACAAACGAAATTGCTGGGCGAAGATCAAAAGCATCGTGCTGTTAGTCATGATGTTGGTATTTTAATAAAAATATTATTACGCAATTCATGGTATCACGGACAAAAGAACGTGCAATTAATTAATAAGATTCCGCGCTTTTATAACGTACGCTTAGTGCCCCTTTGCGTGAATATCAAGAAGATAGAATTTTTAAACGCACCGGAATGGAAATCTAACAGCTTGCATTAAGCAAAAGAGAGCGCGACATATTACAAAGAAAATTAATGCATAAGAAGAATGAATCTAATTGCTATACATAAAAATTTACATAAAACGTTTAACTAAATTTTATTATGTTAACATATGCCTTACATATTTTTGCAAATTGAAGACGTATCCGGATAAAATCTTCTTATTAAAAATATTTTGTCTGTGGAATTTTAGCTAACAGTATCAGCCAAAAAATCAACAAAAAAACCCCAACATCAATCAATAAAAAATTTTATTGTATAAATACGCCCTGAAACACCAACAGTAAAAAACAAACTAACGAATTATTTGGCATTTAATGACTCATACAATGCGATATTTAGCTGCAGTTTTAAATAAATAAAGTTTTAGTTAAAAAATAAAATATTTTAACGTAAGTGGGTCTAAGTAAACTTTCACATGAATATTTATTAGAATTTTATTAATATAAATTTGGTTTAATTTGTAATCTTATTTTCTCATCGTACTACAAAACGCGATTTTACATTTTAAGAATCAAAGCAAACGAAAAAATTCAATAAATTATAAACGAATAAGAAAATTTTGTTCAAATTTTATACAAATACTCAACTATATTAATATATGTATAGACAATTTATGAAATTTTTCTATTTTTGGTAATACTTGCTGTAACATATATTTAAATTTTTTCATTGCTTTTCTACGAGTCGCATAAATTTCTAAGAAATATAATCGCTACAAATCGCTTTTGTTTTATCAAGAGTAAGAAATGATCTTCCGTTTGTTGCACTCCTATTTGATTTAGATCTCTCGAAAGTTAAAATTTCGCTACTCATTTATTTGAAAAATGATATCGTTTCTCTGAGGAAAGTTTCTGATAAAAATATCAAACTAAGTGTCACCGACAGCAGTAGTACATGCATCGCCGTAAGATTTTTTCTTGTGTTGCCTTTATCATTCCGAAAGAATACACGCATTTTACAGCGGTTTTCCCTACTCCATAAAGCGCGTCATCAATTTTTCTTCACTTTTATCTTTCTTCCTTCTTTCTACAGTTGTCCGTCTCTTTCTCCTTCTGCATAATCCATTTCATCTCTTGGCAAGTGCGAACATATTACTACGTTCAGTACACGGTCTTATGATTTTCTATCTTGTATTATCTTCAATTTTCTCTTCTTCACGAGATTGCGACTGTACACATAAATGAGTAGAAGAAAACGCTAAGATATATAATAATATCTTCGACTGATAATTTACTGATTTCTGGTGTTCACGAAATTCGAGACAAATTTTTTTAATTCAATTCTACTATTTTTAATTTTAAATGTTTGTGTTCCAAATTCTTTCTATAACGATTAATTTATATTTTCAAATAAAGGGATTGTTTTTATTTTCCTCAAGTTTTATAATGTCTCGATATCTATCATTCAATTTAGAAGCCCTTACAGAAATTTTATCCCAGCCAATACTGAAGTAATTAATTACCTGTTTTAAATATTGAAAGCACTGTTGTTCAGTACTTTTAATACTTTAAATAAGTAATTAATAACTGTCTTTCAGTAATAAATTGGCTAGTATTCAATTGCAGTATTCGATTTCTATAAGGCTGATAGACATGTTTGTGCCCATTTACGTGTTCATGTACTATCTCTTTCAGTCTGCCCGCCTTTGTTCGATTTTGCGAGCCTTGATGTGTTCCCGGCCCTTCTCTGCTTATCATCCAACGTCATAGCCCGGCAATGCGCTTATGAAACGTTGATGGAATTACCTCCTTCCCCGTCCGTCCCTGCTTTCCCCTTTGCCGAAGCTTCCAAACTGCTTAGGTTTTTCTCTTGCATCTCGCTGCCACGGGAAATTGTAGACATTATCCGTACATTTATATACAGTAGTCCGCTTCCAAGGAATTTAATTTACTCGAATGCTTTATGAATGTTTATGAACGCAGCGATCCTGCTAAAGTTATAATAGAGGTACATAATGAACGTATACAAAGCTTAGTAATAAAAAAATTATTGCCTCAAATTCCTCTTAATTCCTACAGAGCTTATGAAGTGCTCGTTTTATCTCTTAAAATTATTAATTAGCGATACACTTTGTGGAGCTAATCTCTATTTAACCAATATTTTTTTAATATAATATACACATAATGTAGGAGAGTAGAGCATTACAATTGGATTTTTGGAGTGTCTTTCACGTGTGATGAGTCATTTTAACGTCGCAATTATATAACGAAGAATTTTGTGTTTATTTGGAGCAATAATTTTTGAGAATGTAACCACGACGTGTCAACAATGAACGCTCGGATGATTCGCAACGTCTGTAGTAACCGTATTGCCACAAAGTTTAGCCGATAAACCTTGCTGCAACACCTGTTATACGTACGACAGAGTTACTTGAGCTCGAGGTAGAGATAAGTGGATTAACTTTGCTGTAGCCGATATCGTCGACGGAGTGGCTAATAGTCGATGGTAAACGTCATGTCTGTTAGCGTGTTAAAATATAATCGCGCCCTTCGCGGGCATTGAGTTATCCCTTCGCAAAAATGTCTTGTTGGAACTAAGCAGTTACCTGAGCGTTCTTTACTGAACTTTAATTATATTGAATGTGTCATATTTCAAAATCTTGTTAAGCAAAAAAATTGAAAAAGTTTCAACGTAAAAGTATAACAGTTTATCTTGATCAGCTAAAATGACTAAATAAAACAATTTCTCTTTTAAAATTCGATTACCAAATTGTCTTAACTCTAAATGTTCTCTATGAAAGATTTCTTCTTTTTGCTTATAAAATTATGATCTCTTTGAAAATCTTAAAAACGACATAAATGCTATTTGGCAGACAGATATATGGTGAAATTAAGTTAGTTTTGATGATTGATAGAGTAAACTTTACCAACTTATGCATGATAATAATTAAAAAAATTACATTTTTTTAATTACGTCACTTTTTAAGTAAAAGAATGGCATTATTTATAGTTTTACCTCAAAATATGATGTCAACAACAGAAAATTAATATTACTCTGTTCAAGATGATTTTATAATAAGTATTGATTTTATCATTGAAAATTAATAATTATTTTATATGTTTATTCAATTATACGATATGTTGCATTCACTAAGTATTAATTATGCTTCTAACATGACATGAAATTTTTGATAGAGAATATCAATCAAGTCCGTGTCACGCATTTCAAAATTCAAGTCGTATCTCGAATGCCCTCTCGCCTGTTTTCTAAGACCTGTATCCAGGCGATATTCTCAAGATAATTCGGACTGCGCGAAACAGTTTTCGCGAGCATCATTTAACATTTTCATAAATATCAATCAAATGTCCTTCGATTTAATTCCCAGCGGCTATTTGCTCTCACCGCCATTATTAGTTCGTTAACTGTTTGACAAAATCATCGCTTACCGGTGCGGTTAAAGTTATTTCGAATATCGTCAAATATCGATCATTACTTCGTGCTTCCGCGCGTAATCTCTCTTTCTCTGTCAGATTCCAATTAATTATTAACTCATTTCATATTCCGCAAACGAATTTTGCAATGTTAATTTTACAAGGTTGATTGATATTATTACATAATATCGAAACATTTGAAACAATTATTATCTCTGCAACGGGAATAAATTTTTTCCAGCACATTTATTTTTTGTTTTTTATACCACAAAAATTTCTCTCACGAGAGATGTATATTAAAGTATTAAATTGTGTTTCGCCACTTTAATCACAAGTCTGTTGCGTCATTCATGTACTTTGCTTCCAACGCGTAACTCATAGTAATCAAATGAAATGTACACTGAAAAATATATTCTAATTAAAACAACAGATAGCCTGACAGCAACAGATAACAAGAACATTATCGTAACCGAAAATTCTGTTTGTCTTTATCAAAATACCATTCTTATTAAATTCTTTTATTGATTTAATCAGAACATTTCTTTCAGTACATAATTTCTGCAACGTGTTATGATCTATGTTTTAACTGTAGAGACTTTCGTCTCTATAAATTCAATTCATCTCTCTTCCAATTTTCACAAAGCGTAAGTCGAATTCTTAGTAAAAAGAAGAGAAAAACAATTTGCTTGATCGCTGTGCTCCTCGCAATTTTCAAATCACGTGCATGCTACTACGGTAGATGGTGAAGGTTTTGGGGGCGGAGTTACTGCCCGGACATGGTCCTTTTGACCGTTGATTGCAGCGGATGCGGGAGAACGAGGCGACCCTGGGACGTCTTCAGCAGCAAGGAGCCGGCATGCCTTCGGAGGAACGCGAACGGGAAAGGGAGAGGGAACGTTGGAGTCTTCTAAGGGCAGCGAGAGACGAGGCCGATCGAAGTCTCAGCCTCGCGGCTAGTTTGGCCGACAAAGAAGCAGCCCTTTCGCACGCACATGCGACCATAAAAGAGGTGAGTTTCTTGTGTCGAACATATACGTGTTATTCTGTATCTAAACGAGTTTAAAATCGACGGAGTCGTTTGTTTCAGTAATTTCCAAGAAATTCAGCAAAATCGAATCGCTTCATATATATGATTACGAATTAAAAATTATAAAAAAAAAAATTAATTTTTCGCGACTTAAAAGATATCGCTGCGTTAATAGAAAAATGGCATATAAAAAGAATAGCAATTTTTATTATAAAAGAATATTTTTATAAAATCCTAAATTGAAACGTTTTAACTAACATAGTAAATGTACAATTTTTACACACAAAAAATGCTGTAAAAAGTTTTAACATTCTAACAGCCACTTTAAACTTTTTACATCATTGTTTTGGTCCAAACAAAATTATTTTCAGATTTATAGCTAAATTTTTAGATACTTCAACAAAACTGTCTTTCCTGTGTATACTTCTTATATATTTTTGCATGAATTATGAATTGTTTTTTTAAAAACATAATGTATATAAAGAATTGACTTCAATATATAATTAGATAATTAATCAAGATCAAAGACACAAAATAAATAATTATTTTATAACAATTTAAAAAATATTTTTAACAATTCTAACAATTCTTTTTGGTACCAATTATACCTATATATTTCAATAGAAGAATTATACCTATATTTCAAGATAATAATTCAGGTAATTCTTTTGGACTCTTTTGAATATTGATATCTATAGTCAAAATATGATATTTCTATAGCAATTTTCTTTGCTCAGCGATATTTCCAGATTTCTTTTGCTCAGTTGACGCAGACCGTTATAACGGCCAACGTCTCAAAGTATGCCTCTGTATCGTTGCAGCTGCAACGTCAGCTGACAGAACGCGGCGGTGGCGGTGGCGGGATTTGTTTGAGCGATCAGGAGTCCCTAGTATCGTTTCCACGAGGCAGCGTGAACGGTGCTGCGACGCCTGGAGCCGGCAGCAGCAGCGGCGGCGGCGGTGGCGGTGGCGGTAGCTGCGGCATTATTCCTCATGTGAATTCCCAGCCACCCTTGGGCACCGAGCTCGGCATGTCCGTGGGTAACGTGGGTGGCGGACCGGGTGTAGGAGGATCTTCCGGCGGCCAGGCCGGCGATCGTGGCAGCTGCAGCGCAGACAGCGGCGTCCGCGGGTCCAGCGATCGCGAGAGTGGTGGTGCAACCAGCGTTGGCGGAAATCTCTCGGATTCTACGACGGATGGTGAGAATCACTTTGGTAGCGATTAGACCTGTTCTTTTTTTAGTTACACCGAGCGCAATATCCATGAAATTATACTGTGAGGTATAAAATATCCTCTGATAATGGGGAGAAGAGAGAAGAAAAGAATTGTACAGGAAAGTGCAAAAAATGAAGAAAGGTAGAAAGAAAATGTATCTCGTAAAGAGGATTTTGCTTCGTGCCAAATCCTCTTTCTCTTTTGCGATGATATAAGGTTGCTTTAGCTAATCTTTTCACAAGCGTCTCTTTACACATTTCTATATAGTCTTTTTAAGTATATCAAATTGTATAACGTGTAAACTGAATTTGATTGCTGAATTAAAATGAAAATTAATGTGGTGTCAATGTATAACAGTCAATATCATAAACTCAACTTATTGTATTTTTAATCTTAAATATAGATTTCGTCTTATATCCATGAACTAAAACATTTATGCATTTATGAATTTATACAATTTTCTCAATTCTAATTAATGAATATGACGCTTGTTTCGCTATAAAAATATCATGACAAACAGTAAAGTTAGAAACACATAAGAAAATGTTAAGCCATAAGAGTATTTAAGCAGTAAAGGAATCATCCAATCACAGTAGAGAACGTAAAATAGTCCTCTATTCTGATTGGTCGATTCACTTATTGTGTTTTACGTCTTACTACCTTACGTTTTCTAATGTGTTTCTGGCTTAACACTGATTCTATAGCAGAATTCGTCATTAACAATATTACGACGAAGGAACATTTTTGAGGAGCGTTGGTTTATCTGAAGTTACTATTAATCACAATCGGAGTGACACCCGCTCAGGAGATAATGACTCCGACGTTTAGTTGCAACGAGCCCCAAGATTAATCGTCTAGTCAGAAGGGATTGCCAGTGCACATCCGGCTAAGTACCAGTTTGAAAAATAGTTAAACCGGTATCCGTCAGTCGCGAATGTTAATCGAACGTAGGTGGTAGAGGTCTAATCGAACACACGCTTTCTTCATGTATTATTCAGCTAATCGCCGTGCCGTTGCATCAAAACGGTTTGATCGATTGGGTTTCCAGCAAACATTCGCGATCACCGCAGACGGTTTGGGATTTGATGCGCGTGCATGATTTTCAGCGCGAAAGATGCACTTTGGAATGCGCAGAAACGTTCGAATCTCAGGATTATATAAACTCTTACTAAGTTACATTAACAAGTTAAACATTTACCCGGGATATTACCGTCCTGCCTTTTAACGTTCTTAACGAGAGAAACTGCTTTTAACGAAAGGATTTTGATAATGTAATTACAACATATTTACATATATATTTATGATTAATTGATTTATGAATATTATTGATTAAATCAGGCACGGTATAGTTAATGAGGAATTAATTTATGAATCACACAATAATCTTACGTAAACCAACAATAAGTCCCTTTCGAATTTGTCACACAACTACGATAATAATAGCGATTAAAAGTCAATTAGCCAGTCAAACATTATCTCGAGCGTTAAAGTTATCAATTAAAACTTTCTCTATTAGAAATTTTTGCTAATGGCCGCGTCCATTACGCCACGCAAAAAGTCAAGCGTCAAGTTACTTTGCCACTTTCTAACATCGCGACGTGTTTGCCTCTCCGTGTTCCACTTTCGATGGCGAACAGTGGGCATTATCTTTGTCGTCGTCATAAAGGCGCCGCGACATAAAGAACACAAGTCAATAGCGGCGACCTCGAGGGAAGCTCGTTCTTGACAGCTCCAGCACAATGTGACGGGCCCACCGATACCTTTACCCGCACTTCCTCCCTTTACTGTAAAATTGATATCCTTTATATATATTTCCGCGCAGGCACGCCGACAATTACGGTCGAGGGCAGCGGTCTCGACATGGACAGCATCTCCGTGGTATCCTCCGTAGCACCACCCCACATATACCAATGTAAGTGTCCAAGAACATAAATCACTGATCGTCGTCACTTCCCTTATCACTCAGCGCTCTCTCCCGCCACCCTTGTCCTATCGTAATCCGAAGCGCCTCTGCTGCTTCTCAATGTATGCGACTTTTTCTCTTTTCCTCTGACCAATATCGATTTTCTTTCATCAGCGAAGGGTGGCTAGACCAGTGGCCGATCGCGAACGCGTCGAAATACATAGGATTGCAATCATAATAATTTTTTAACTAATAGATCATTACGAGTCGCCTTGAAATATTTGTGAAATAGCCGAGAATCCATTGATGTTTCTTCTTTGCGAATCTCTAAAGCTCTTTAAAGTCACGATAATCTGAAAAAACGAACAACACGGTCGCTATCGTATTCTGGTCACTCTGTAGTCATTTATTTCTTGGTGTGTGCGTGCGTGCGTGTGTGTGTGTGTGTATGTGTGAACATGCGTCTTAATATGGTGGTCCGAAAGGGATCGAGAGCACTCACCGAATAAATCATCGTTTTTCTCGGTGCGCGAAAGCCTAACTGATGCCGAGACCCCCAAGGATGTCTTCGATACAAGTCCTGCCTGCTGCTATAGCCTGAATGCATGCGCATGTACATACCGTAAACCTGATGGAGATGACAAGAACGAGCTATGCCCACGAAAAGGACTTTTTGCACGCGAGCAGAATCGCTGCACGACGCGCTGTGTGTTCTTTATGTGACTTGCATCGATTATCATTCGCTGTGTTATGGAACAGGATATAACGCTTGACGAAAAAAATCACACGTGAAACTCGATTTTCATGTGCAGTATAAAAAAAAATAGCGGCATCTCTCTCCGAAGAAACGTGAATGAATAATTAATAACTTGTCGATGGCCTGATTTGACTTGCCGTGACATTCTGCCGTGTCCAATTATTAACAAATTATCATTCACGTTCTTTCTTTATCATACGTTTGTTTTAACATGACAAAAATATTGTTTCGTGCCTGAGTAATATTTGCGTGACATGCAATCATTGAATAACTCATTGTTTATCGACGGTTTTCCATTTAACACGTCGGGCTTACATCCTTTGCGCAATCTCATATTTCATTACATTTCGAATTATTTCTATCGCTCTTCCTATTCTCGTATCGAGTTGCTCGAGAGCGTTACGGAAATCGACGGTACACCATGACATGCATGTTCTTCTATTTACAGCTGCGACTACACCGAAGGACTGCAGCCCCACACTGTCGCCGCTGAACGCATTTTCAAGGTCTATGGACAATTCTTCTCTATCGCGATCGGTCGAGCAGCTATCCAGCCCGCTGGAATCCGAACCGAGGAGGAACAAGCAGCCACCACCTGTCGTTGCACCTGCCGCTCATTCGCGATCGTCCGCCACTCGCGGCGGCACATGGGGATCCATTTCAAGGTAAGGAGCTTCCGTTACGTTCAACGTTTTATTGCGTAATACGAATCGCAAATTGTTCGCAAATAAATTCAGTTTCGAAGAGATAATTATTTCTTATGCAATTATTTTTGTTCTCCTCTGCATATTGTCCCCGGTGATATCAATCACACATTAATTGAGTGAAGTATCGATTATTTAGCTCCTTGGACAAACATTTATTGGCAATTACCATCAGGGCAATGAATGATACATTTTATACATAAATATGAATTTTGTCGCGGCAAATAATTTATGCGTAATATATATATATATAATATAATATAATACGGGTGGTCACAAATAATATAGCTTTGACATAAATAAAAAGCATTGGAAAGACAAGAACCACTCCATGAATCGTACGGTTTATGCAATTCATTCACACGCTGTTGAATGGTTTTATAAAGTGCACGGCTTGTTCGCATTGATTTTACAATCTCACGAGCTTGCACGTAAGTGTAACACCGATGTACTCCCCCCTTCGTCGACATTTTTGTTCTTTGTGATGACTCTTAGTATTACTTCAGCAAAGTATGTGATTACCACGCAAGTCTTACATTGTAACAATGTACAAACGAGCGAAATGAGTTCATAACACGATAGAAGGGAAATTGCAACTTTACGACAATGGTTACCGAGTAGAAGCGATGCGAATCTTCGCGCCGTGTAGAAATGAACTTGTAAAAGAGACTATCATGTAAAGTAATAGTCTTCCTAAGTAAGATGACCCTTTTTTTCTATATAAAAAAAGCGTATTGATTTTTCTATCATATTCACTTGAATATTACAGCCGATGCCGATGAGAGACTTATATCCATGACGTGTTTTTACCCTAAATAATAGTTGGTATCGAATAGCTGTTTAGCTGTAGAATATTGCATAGAGATCTTGTAATCTCTCCTCCATTATCACATCGAATATGAGACAATACACAGATTTAGGTTTATCTAATTGAAAAATCTAATTTCTCATTTTATGAAAAGAATGATTTTGCTGTAGTCCGATCTAAAAGATTTAGATAGATATACAGATCTGACAATAATTTTATTAGATCATTAAAATAATTATTACAAAAATTATTTTCAGACCATCTGTATTTAGCTAAAGTTTTACATATTTTAGCAAAATCATTCTTTCCATATAAGTTTAATATCAATATTTTAATTATATTATCAATAATGAGACAAATAAAAAAAGATAAAAATGTGTTTCTGCGGTCAAATATCATGCATCAATGCGAATGGATCGGTGTTCTCCCTTTTGGCAGAGTATTCGCTCGTTCGCGACATCGGAAGACGGCAAACAGTTCCAGCGGTGGTAGCGGTGGTAACGAGGGTTCAGATGGCTTTGATCCATATCGATCGTGGTCACCGCTCACCGAGGAGGGTTACGCCGAGAAACTTCGTTTACTGCGAGAAGCAGCCTCTGTGCCCATGGAGCGATGGCGAGCCCCGACCGTTTTAGCCTGGTTAGAGGTGGCTCTCGGGATGCCACAGTATGGTCCACGATGTGCTGAGAATGTCAAATCGGGCAAGGTAAAGCATTTATCACCTTGCTTTCATTAGCGAACTTTAAGCTAGTTTAACCTATTGATATGATTGTAGAATTTTTTTTATTATTATATTTGATTTAATTATGATTGATTTTTTAATCCAGAAACTAATTAGATAATGCCATATTTGTTTCAGATTATTCTTCAAATTATTAAAATATTAGTTTTGCAATTAATTGTCGAAATATAAATACAACTCTTAATGCTGTAAAATCATAATTTTTAATATCCGGACAATAGTCTGAAGAAATCATCGATATATGTATCGAATGATGTACTGTTAATTAGCTTTATAACTATATGCGAAATCTTCTTTTTAATTTTTATATTTTGGTAACAATTTACAGAATTGTTTCTGATTAAAATACTTGTCGATGAGTTAAATTTTTATTAATGCAATACTAATTTTAGGTTCTACTTGAACTAAATGATGCCGAACTGGAGGCCGGTTTAGGCGTAACTCATCCGCTTCATCGAAAAAAGCTGCGTTTAGCCATCGAGGAACATCGACACCCAAGTCACGTACGATATCCATGTATCGCTCAGTTAGGTCATACTTGGGTGAGCTCCGAATGGTTGCCAGATCTCGGCTTGGCCCAGTATTCAGAGAGTTTCGCTACTAATATGGTGGACGCACGTATGCTGGACCAGCTGAGCAAGAAGGAGCTTGAGAAACTGCTCGGAGTCACGAGGAAGTTTCACCAGGCTAGCATTGTTCATGGTATTCATTTGCTGCGAATGCTAAACTACGATCGACAGGTAAGTGAATTTTTGTCGAAATATTACAATGTTATAAGATATTGCTGATTTCATCAGAAACTTGTAAAAATAAAGGATGATTAATCAGTTCTTTATGATTAATTGAGCGATGTATAATTGCGATTGAATAATACCATCAAAGAGATGACGTCATGCTTTTGTACTAGGCTCTCGCTGTCAGGAGACATCAATGTGAACAGGTCGACACAGATCCTTTGGTCTGGACGAATCAAAGGTTCATTCGGTGGGCGAGGAATATCGATCTCACGGAATATGCCGAGAATTTGAAAGGTGAATTGTATTTCGGCGAAATCAATTATGTATCTTTAAAATAAAAAATTTTGCAAACTATAATCTGTTGTCATATATTATATATAATAATTGATTACAGATAACAAAATTGTAATATATATATTTGCTATCGAAATGTAAAAATATTTTCTTTATATACATATTCCTTTTGTTTTTATCAAGTTTTTTTAACAAATATCGTGATTGCAGCATAGTACGTCTCTCTTTTCGAAATAAAAATACACAGAATATAGAAACTAAAAAAAAACTGACGACCTTTCACCTTTAAACTCTGTAACATTCACACGAACTGTCGGTATCATCTATCTATAACAAGCACAAAAACTCTTCCACAGATTCCGGCGTGCACGGTGCTCTAGTTGTATTGGAACCGTCATTCACTGGTGATACTATGGCCACCGCCTTGGGTATACCCCCGGCGAAGCACATGATTAGACGACATCTCACCGCCGAATTAGAAGCACTCGTTCTACCAGCAAGGTATTCAGTCTACTGTCATCCAGAGGCGACACTGGACAACGCTCACTAATCGGCATGACGTCGTCGTTGTTCTCATCGTCATCGAGACAGGACGACGTCTCCGGAACATTAATTGGCACCTGCGAAACCGCGTTCGAACATTCCTCGTCTCGAAGGAATCTCCTTATAGCACCTCGGGAATTCGATCATCAATTTTGAGATCCTCGAAGTCACTCAAACTTGCATTAAACTTGCTTTCTCCACGCTTTGTACGTCACAGAAGACACTCTAAACACATACCTCTTGTCGAGTCATGCAGTAAAACGAACATTCCTTTTAAGCTTATAAAGTAGCAAAAGATATCGTCATAGTGTAGGGTAACTACTTTACGAAATCAAAGGGACTTGTTAAGCCAATATTAGAGTATCACTTATTGTCAAACTTTTTGGTATGAAAAATTCATTTCTTTACAGAAAGAACAATTTTACTGAGAAAGATCTGAACGTTCAGATAAATACGGATCTAAAAATAATTTTATTGGATTAACAACATAGTTATGTGACAGATTCAGCATGATAAGTAATGCTGCAAAAAATTGCAACATTTTAGCAGCTTGAGTGTTTTATATAATTCTTTCGATAATCCAATAAAATTTATTTAGATCTTTTGAAATCTAACTATTTAACTAACTTTTTGAATCTAGTAAAATGTTTAGATACTTTAGCAAAACATTTTTTCCATATTAGAATGTCATTTATTGCCACTTTTGTCAAGCATTGATCAGAAAAAGAATAAGAAGACGCTCAATTCTTCGACCAATCGCTTTGACGATCTCGAAAGAAAATAAAACGAAATTGAGTTTTTTTTATGTTCGTCGCATAAAAACGTTTTTAGGAGATTCCTTTTCAAGGCAGGAATGTAACATAATGAAGGATGAAATCGTGCCGGTTCGTTTCATTCCTTCCCCCGATCGATTCGTGCCACATGTCGACCGAAGTCGGCGTATTCTCGAAGCAGCAGGTGCAAGTTGTAAAGCAACGAACGACACGTCACTCCGCGCCCAAACCACGTGCAATAGTCAAAGTTAAAATCGTTGGACGTGCATCATAGATCGCGATCTCAATCTTGACCGAGGCAGTAGAAATTTTCGCTGGAGCATCAAAGAGCATCAGTCAATTATTTATTTACAGGAATATGTCGCGCGTGGACAAGTAACCGGGAGTGCTTTTTCACTTTCTCTTGGCAGAAGAAGTGTTTTCGAGAAACTTTCGCGCGGAAACGGGAAATTGCCGGAAAATTTCGGCAAACCTCGTTTGGCGAAGCTGCGTGTTCGTCGCTTATTTATCACGTGCGATCGATACTCGCGTTTCGCATCGTAAAATAGCATTAGCTCGGGAAAAAAAGAGAGAAAAAATTGTTACTGTATAGTCGCCGTTAATCAATAGGCAGTTACTTTTCCAGAATTTCTACGAGTAAAGTTAGTTATATTGTGTAAGAGACATATCCGTGAACTTCCGCAAAAAGCTTTCGTAACCGACAGAACATAATTTAAACGTATTACTAAGGAATTTTGAGAGGAAGCTGTAAATATTCCGGAAACCGATCTCGGAAATGAAGGCGATATGAAGGGAGTACACGCGCGCGCGATTTTTATTTGAATTTTATGATACTTCCCTGAAACACGCGGATAATTAATCGCGAATTTAACTTGACCAGACTCATTTCAACTTTTACAGCACCTGTAAAAGTTCTCATTGACGTTAAGTGGACATCAAGCAGCGCTAAAAATTACTAATGGCCTCTCAATGAATTGCCTTTATCAAGTAAAGCACCATCTAATCGAAATTAAATTGAAATGTGAACTCCCTTAATATTGAGCTTTAGATAGAGCAAAAGCGTGCTCGCTCGACGATCTTCAATCGCGATTGATCGTTATCGAACGCGCTCGCAAAAAAAGTACTCGTAGTCTTAATACACATGCCATACCTGGATATATCGGGCATACACACACGTAAATACAATATACAGTTACAATCGACATATATATAAAATGTACATATACAAACATACGCGATTACCCAGTGGAACGTGCTAGAGTACTTCGTCGGAGTACTCGGCAGAGAATTGCAGCGCGCGATTCGCTGGGTCTGCAGTCCATCGCGGATCCACCGGTAATGTTTCTCATAGCTGAGCCGTAGCCCACAGCTGCTGCCTGCACTGCACTGCGCTATGTACAGCACATGTTAATCTTAGTGATCGTGGTGTAATCCTTGGTCAGACACCTCGCCTAGCACTACCTTCTACACCCCCCCGAAAGACTTTCCGAAAGGAGAAAGCACCTTTTATTATTTAAACAACCCTTAAGCAAGACTCTTAGCATATTTCTGATTATTAAATAAATCATATTATTGATTATACTCTTTTCTTATTAAGAATGTATAAGAATCTTTTTGTCTTTTCCCCCCGTCCCCTTGCCGTCTTATAGACGTGACTTTTGAATGTTTTTCTGGCCAGGAATCACACCACATTTGCATTATGATTCCTTTTATCTTTTTCTAATTTTGCCAACTTTAATATTTACATATATATATATATATCTTTGATTGTTCGATGTTTACTCTCGTTGACTGATTAGCGTGACTGGAAATGCGTTTCGGTTGGTTCTACTCTAGGTGACCATCCTTGGTGTATTGACAGTCCAGTAAACATTATACATTACTCTATATCGGTGGTGCACAAAATGCTTGTGTATGTATATTTATGTTGTAACTAGATATTCATTATAAGATAGATCTCGTTCTATCATCAGACACCTACAGCGAGCCACTGTTAATATTTATCAACGCAATCATTAGAATCAAAAATATTCACAGAACAATAAATAAACAATAAAAAAAAGTATGAGTTAATTACAATTGATTATTAAATGTACTTTCTGAAATTTGACAAAGATTTTTCATAAAAATTAAATAAAAATTTTGCGAAAAGAGATATATATTTAGAGGGTTCGCTGTAATACGTGTCACACGTGTGTGTGTGTCCGAGGTATGTGCATATTAGGCGATCAAGGACGCCAAGGTGTACGCAAGAAGGCGTGCATGAAAAGGATGGTGTGCGTGTGTGCGTAGAAGTCAGCTGGAGGTGGTCCCGAGGAACAGCATCGGCGGGAGTGGCCGTCCGATGAGCACCACGAGCGCGGGGGGTAGTCTTGGTCGTGGAAGCAGGGCGCTGCATCTCCAGCATCATCAGAGTTCGTTGTCTGCCCTTCACATGACGGCGAATCACACCGGCACCGTCGACAGACGCAGATCCAGCCTCAGGGTAACGTACCGTTTAGATTCAGCGAGGATCTGGTTCGCATACAAGCGCGCCAGGAACTCGATGCCGCTCCCCGCCTCGCCTCTGCACTTCCTTTAACTCTTTCGAACGAGGAATATCATTAATTTGGCCTAATCGTTACCGAGGTAAATCATTTTCAAACGTTGCCTTTTAGGTATGCTCAAATTTCAAAGCTCGATAAATCGAGCTTGCATATCTATGTTTGCTTTTTCTTTCATAAAAATACATAAATTGTTACATTGTAACTATTATATTATATATTAGATTATATGATGCGATTGGACTTAATCGTAATTAATCGTGATTCTTATAATTTAATTGTTTTTATTTGGCTTGGAAAGAGATAAGGATAGTGCGAGATATGTCTCTTAGAGACTTATCTCTTGGCGAGTTGCTTAAAGCCTATGCTTGTTTTTACCATGATCATTGCATTGTAGAAAATTTGATATTTAGAGAAATGATGTGATATTTTTAATATTTATCTCATTAGAATTACATAAATGAATAAAACTTCTTCTTCCTTTCATCCAATCTTTATGAGAAGAATTGGGAATGGGTACTGTAAAATGTAATCTAATTTGCGTTGCAAAATTATTTAATATTTATTTAGCTATCTCATGCCAATAATATATTAATAATCCATTAAGAAATATCCATTATTATTTTCTGCGGTATTGCTTTCTCGACAGTTAATTAGATAAATTAATATAGGTCATACCGGCAATCGATTATACAGCACAGACAAACTCATTGAAAAATCCAAAAACTCATCAGGATTAATTCATTATTTCATTTGAAATGCAAACGCCGTTTATTGTGCAGTCATTTACTCCCGTTTCCACGCGCACTTTCATGCATCTCATCTGTGCGACTATTAGTTCTTTATTTTTATTAATTATTGGCACGACTGCATGGCATCGCTTAGTTAAGAAAGCTCGCATAATATTCTACAGCGAAATATTTCCCCCTGATATTATTAATTCTCGTCGAAGAAGAAACAAATAACCGTTTTAAATTGTGAGTAATAATGATTTTAAAATTGCTTTAGAATTTCTTAACTCTTTATTTTTTAAACAGAATATATATGTTTCTTACAAATTCACACATAGTAACTAAAATTATTAATGTACAACAGATTATTTTTTTAATGTGTCAAATGAAAAATATATTTTTTATCAATTATATAGAATTCCAATATTATATTTTTCTATGCATTTTATAAAATAATACGAACAACGAAATAGAATGAGCTACAATGTGCATTATTTATTAAAGTTAGTAATATAAGTTTGTTGTATGAAAAGAGTTTATAATTATACAGTTTGCTAAATGAAAATAAATTTTAGTCGGCTACTTAAAAAAATTTCATCAGTCTTGAAGTTTCACGCGACGAGAATCAATAACAGAATTTTTACGCTGTGAGCTATGAGCTCAACCTAATGTTAATCATTGTCCCTGCATCCTGTGGATCGTCGCAGACCTGCAGTCTTCTTTACTTGAAAAAGGTTCGGTATTTATTACATCCATTATTTCTTTATTTAAAGTTCTTTATATACTGTTCTATATCATAGAACATATATTTATTACATATATTTATTAAAGCCTATCGATTTGCTACATCATCGTTGCGGATCGATTAATTGCAGTACGTTTTTGCAAAGTCTCCAATAATCGGCAATCTATGAAGATTAATTACAATAGAATCATCAACGCCTAGATAATCTTTTAATATTAATTTAATTAATTTTTTTCTCGAATTGCAAGAGATTTTGTAAAATCGTTTTTACACAAATGCACATGAGTAAGCAATTGATCGAGACTAATTTTTAGCACTGTTCCAATAAATTCTGATAATTTCTCAGAAAAATTGAGTATAATGCATTATGATCTCAAACTCTTAGTTTGCATCAACGCTCAGTTGCATTACTTTGACTTTAAGCAAAGCTTAAAACTCTCTCCGCCTCTGTCTCTCTTTCGCTTTAAAACGAGACAGAGAAAGAGTTTTAAGTTTGCTTAAAGTCAAACGTTGGTACAACCGGGTCTCTTAAATGATTTATTATTAACCCTCAACTATATGAAAACTACACTATGAAAAAACCTATATAACTACACTTAAGTTATTGCAACATTGCTGCAAGTTTTGTGCTGTTGGGGAAAGCATTTTGTTTGAAGTATAGAATGCAAGTACTGAACTTCGCCTTATGACGATTAATAAAGAAAGAGTTTTTTTTTCTATAATTTGTAATCTCATAGTTTCGAATCCCCAAATGACCTGTGGCTGCAATTGAGGGTTAATTTTGTACACGTGTATGTAATTACGATCAACAATCCAATTAATGTTTCGATCGATTGTAAACTCGTGTCCACATTCTCTCCTAGGAAAGTAAAATAGGAAACCATCAGTATATATCGGCAAATGTACCGGCATTGTGGAACGACGAAGCATTTTTCTCGTGTAAACGTTTCCTCGCTCGGGAAAATTCTCGATCTCGGCGAAGCGGCAGATAAACAATAAATTTCTGCTTAACGCGATTAATTGATCAACTCTGTTCGAGACATCGCTTTGTTGAGATCCATACGATTTCTCTGGATCTCGATCTCGATCGCACAGACCTGAAAATGTGAGCAAAGAAGTAATCGAACAAAAGGATTGATTGTACAATAGACTTTGGAATAATTGAGTAATTATCGTTGTGTCCGGTCTGTCGAGCGCGAGATACCTGAACGCGCGAATATCGATTCATTGAATCAGCGTCAAATAATCGTTTGCAAGGTAAAAGAGAAAAAGACTGATGGAATACGAGCCTAAGCCTTGCAGTCGTATTATATTATAATTATAGAAAATGGAACAGATCGCGGAAACACCTCTTTCTTATATTTAATCATCTATTTGTACACCTTGTTTCCGTCTTTTATAGTCCAATCAGATTGCCAGACAATCTGCCGCGCTGAGAAAAGGATATATACTTGCGTGAAAAACTAGGTTTTATCACCGTTTTTAAATAAAAAATAATGAATATTTAAAATCCAAGTTTGTTATATATCGAGAAGCGGAAAACTTTATGGAAATATTTTATTTCTTTATGCAAGAATATTTTATACTTTTTATAAAGTTTTTAATGAAAAATTTAACAGATTATTTCAATTATTTTAATAATTAAATCGCAATTTATCTATCCCTGTTGCAGGAATTACGTCGCAATTATTTTTTTCTTAGGGTGTTCAAATTATCAAGCCGAAACTCGAGTATTTCGGTAAACATTTGTTACGCGGCTCGGTAAAAAACAATGAAAATTAGCCGAAATGTTCGTGGCTCGAGTTTCAGCTCGATAGTCTAAACGCACCCTTATATTCTGATAAATTGAATGAATAAAATGAAGATATATAAAATATTCAAGAGATTATTAATTACTCAATGCAATCGCTGAAATTGTACATTCCACGATTATACCCTATTCTCAGCGCTAAATGTTCACCAACGTACGCGTTATACCACACTGTAAACACTGTATATAACGAGCATATACATTAGCCGAACACGTGTCCTCCTCATGTATGTAAGCAGAGTGTCCCGTGTCTTCAGGTACACCTTTATAGCGAGTAGCGATTAAAATTATGCATTATGCAGCTCGAATTACGTAGCAATCGTTCGTATTTATAGCAGGTCATTATTTATGACTGCATTTGGGCGCCGTGGCGATCCGCGGCCGCCCGTCATAATCAATTGTGTAAATATAAATTGACGATATCAATGTGAAAATTCAGCGTGTGGATTCTTAATCGACCTTATTTCGTCCTTTTGCTAGTTGTCATGGAGGAGCTCACAGGTATGCGTCATTAATATATGTACATTCAAATACGTACATTATATATCCGTATAGTATCCCTCACATACATGTTCCCACTAATCCTGCTAACCGTATCACTTGAATTATTAAGATCGACGATCAGGATGGACCCATCAACGCAACCTTCTGCAAAATGACGAAACAAAAACAGTGGGCTCTCCTCTTTGTCGTAGCACGTGCATCTCCTCCTATCTATATCTACTGCTTTTAATCATTCTGCAAGAATCACTCTGCTACCCAGCGAATCCTAAATCTTTGTCTCATGTTCGTTTATCCTTTCACTCTAAAAGATACAGCGGGTTTGTCGTAGCGAAATTTAGATAGCGATATTTCGCTTTTGCGTAAAAGTTTTTACATTACAAACGTAATAAACGTTTTGTCACATTAAATCAATTAAACAATAGTTTACTCAAATCGAAATGTTAGTATTATTTTTTCGAATATAAAAAAAAATCTAACTTCTTCACAGCTTAAGCTGCTATCTAAATTTCTTCCATATTCCGCGGTTTCTTTTTATTCAACTTAGTAACTTCTTCAGCAACGCAAAAATTTAAGTAACTTAGTAAAAAACGTTTACAAAAGATCCAATTTTTCGGACTTCTTTTAGAAATTTTCTTTATTCGCTCTTTCATATTATCTAAACTGATTCTGTTAGTACTTGGGCATCTCCCAGTCGCTCATTTGCTCGTAGCTTTGACCTCTCTGGAAAGTCGAGATTCATCGCTTAATCAGATTTTATAAGTCATAATCCCTCTAATCGAGACCCATCTTTTCGCAGGGATCCCTGAGTAGAGCGTTCGGTCTCCGGCCTAGAAGCGAGAAGGCATCACCGTCATCGTCTTCAGACACCGGGAGCCTCATTAGCCAATGCCAGTACATGAGCAGCAGCGTTCGCAGCAACTCGCCACCACCGCCGCAGCTTCCGCCGCGGCCGATGTCAACTGGTAGCGGTAAGCGGCATCGACGAGTGAAAAGCATCGGTGACATCGAGTACATAAGCTCAGCCGCGGTCAGCACTCCAGTCTGACAGGAGGGTAGGCCCCATCACTCGGGGCCTTACCGCAGTCTGAGCGAACGCGGTTACTCCTCTTCCTCGTACTCGTCGTCTCAGTACGGCTCGTACTCGGGCTACAGCAACGTCCTGGCGGGCGGGGATCAGTACCAGCCGTATCAGCAGCAGTCCGGTGGCAATTACTATCAGCAGCTGCAGGGCGGTTACTACTCACCGCAGAGTTCCGGACCACCTTTCCCAGGTGTACAGAGATACGGTAGTCTGGCTGAAGAGGCATGGTCGTCGTGCTCCACTAAAGGAGACGTTCCGATGGGAGTCTCAAAGACTAATCATAGAACTTACTTAGCTTAGCTTTCTGTCGCAACATTGAAGATTTTTTGAGCTGATGTTCGTTCCACGAAGATTAACACCACCATGTGCACGACGGTGCCAATGTTGTATTCTCAAAACTAAGATATGTATCTCTTTTTTAAATTTATTTTATATTTTATCTTCTTCGTTACACGCGAACGATAATTCAGTAAATATATTTATGGTAAAAAAAAATCACAAGAATGTCATGTCACGCGCTTATCGGAGCCAGATGTTGATCAGTGTGATTTTTCATATTTCAAATGTGGCTCGCTATATCAGAAACAGTACCTACATGATTTAAAGAGATTATTATCAACAACTAAGAATATATTGCTAAATCTAAGATCCCGAGCTTCTGACATACTTTATGTTTTGACATATAAGAATGTTATCGAAAGGTGACCTGATCGAATTTATAAATTTGTTATATATTTATGAATTTATTAATTTGATATAATGATAAGAGGATTGATGCGATCCCGATAATCCTTGGATAATCATTATCATTACTGTAAACATGAATATACATGTTACATAATAACGATAATAGACAATACGTTGGCTGGACAATGGATTACGAAAATATGAACAGTTTCAGGCATGTTACGATACAATTATATCTAAAGTTCTAATGAATGAGTAAATATTGATGTCAGTTATTTCAGAGTTATTCTTCATTACAAGGTAATTATACGTCGTACAAATATTAGGCAGCATATCGTGATGTTAAGAAGCATAAAAGAGTCTGACCAAGTTTTATGAACACATCGAGCTATCAACCGATATACGTATATCCAATAGAAATAAATAAGGTATAAAAGAGTATAATTATAATCACAGATAAGATTATAAATAAGCGAAATAATAATGAAAATTTTTAGTTCAATCGATGTGTATACTACGGTGACAATATCTCACACAAACGGTATAATTTTTTATTATTATCATTGCGAACGACGTCCCTCTATCGAGATATAATTATAATTTAAATTGTAAAATCATTCCTGTATGTAAGCTAACACGGAAAAATTGTATCGTGAATATCGTTGAAGAATATTTTAGCTTATGAATTCCTGGTGAACGAATGAATGAAGCTTTAATGACGCTTGCTAAAAGATAATCGCAACAACGTGGTAATTTTGGTATCCTTATGGTGTACGTATGCATATAATACGTACGTTTATCTGTACTTTTACGTTATTTTCTATCGATGTATACGTATGTGTGTGAGTTTCCTACAACCACTTAACGGTGAAAACATTATCAGATAAGCTTGAGGCAACACGTTCACTCCAGCTAAGTGTATTAGATACCGTGAAGCTATAATGAATATTGAACAGAATCGCCTCACGAAGACGCCTAGTCTTCCATTATATATTCCATCATATTCCGCAGCACGATGAAATTGAATACATTCCGTTCTTCGTTATTCTCGAACCAAAAGGAAGAAATCGGGAAATTCAATTGTTGCTGCGATAAAACCCTTCTCCATTGCATTGACACACGCGAGAGAATTTTCCAAGTACCTACCTTCAAGCTGCAGTCTATGTATAAAAAGTTTAAAAAGAATTGCTCCTAAGACGATTACGATTATAATTTTTTTTTTATTGCGTATACTATGGTATAATTAATTAATTATGCGACCATCGCGACGCGCACAGAAAGAAAACATAAACAAACAAGGCGAGCCACATAATTTAAACTAAGTGCCAGAAAGATTGAGTATTCATCGTAATTTGGCACATTGCCGAAATGTATAACGTTCGGCCCTACATCATTATATATCAATACGTACATTCTCCCCAGTGTTCGTATGTTACACTCGCGCGGTCGCAAAGAAAAAGAAAGACGATATTTTGCAGATAAAATGCACATATTTAACGTGATATTTATTCGTAGATTGTAATTATTTCTTGATATTTATACGACAGCCGCGTGTTCAATCGTCGAACTATTTAATTCTACGTCCATCGGAAAACGATCAGGACCACGATATAATATATTTTATTGCCGGACTAGTATTACCGTCGTTTTGCGACGCGAAAACGGCGAATTAATACGTTAACTATCGTGACATTCGTGTACCTAAGTAATTTATTTATATAAATTAATTTAGGTCTTTAATTTATTTGTATACAATATTATTGTGCAACGCGACCAATACCTCGCTTGAACGCGGCAGATCGATGTGTTCGCTTATTGTATATTGGTCGCAGCATGCGCGATCACACATATTTCGATACAAACCGTTGTAAATGTGCTCAGTAACGTCTGTATATATTTGTGTGTACTGTATCTAAACACGGAAAAGAAATTAAATAAATGATTGCCTTTACTTCTACGCGATAGATCCTTCCGCGAAATAATCATATTCAGTATATCTAATATACATTATTATTTTTTTATTTATACAAAATCCATTATATAACATTGCGATGCAAATGAAACATATTCTTTGACAGTATCCTAATATATTTATAATGTAATATATGAACATAATAAATATATAAATAATTACAATTCGAAATATATAACTATAACTCTCTCAACCCTCGAGTACAGCAACAGATCATTTAAATCCGTAATAAAAATTTTAGACGGTTCAATCGGTGTATGATTGTTACTATAATGTTCTATATAATAGGTATATAAAAAGACGTTGAACCTTCTTCTATTAATCGCGTCATTTTCATTCTGTATAAACAGAATGTTTTAGATTCTTTAGAACTTAGGTGTAATTTTCATAGCTGTAGTTGAGGGTTATAAATATAAGTATGTCTACGTTTTTTAAATAAAATTTTACAATTTTTTCAATGTCAAAATATACAAATGAGTTATAAGGTTAAAACATTAATTTAAATATGTCGTTCTCATATTCCGAAATGTGATGTACAATATTTTCCTATGCGATATAAAATATTATAATAATAATTTAGATGTTCACCATCAAGTAGAATTATATTTTTTTTCGTTCTTTTATCAACATTTATTATTTTTTGTCGATATTTTAAGAATTAATTGGTGTTTTTTTAATTGAAAATGACTAAACAAAATAAATAAATTTTGAACATTTATTGAATGGCAAAAAAGAAAAAAAGAGATAGAGAGAGAGAGAGAGAGAGAGAGAGAGAGAGAGAGAGCAAACGTAACATAAAAATTAAATTATAAAACTTACAGTTTCCATTTTTCTAATTTTAGAAGTATTATCCGAAATAATAACTTTATCTCAAGATCTTTTTATATTGGAATTGTGCTCTTTTGTTACTCGATCTGTACTTGGTGTTATATTAAAATTGATATTTCTGACGACATGAAATAGCGGTGTACTGCGAGGTGTAGATAAATTATTTTTCGAAATTCCACAAGAACTTTTTACAATTTTATTTACACTCGGACATCTTGAACTTCTTTCAAGTGATTTTGTCTCTAAAATCTTATTTGAAAAAATTTTTTTAACAGATTGACTTACTTTCATTGCTATAAGTGGGGTATTCAGCCGATTTGAAACGTTTAATTTCGTATCGACAGGAAATGGTGTCGATGTATGTATATAATTTGTAAATACTTTAGAATATATTTTATTCCGCGATACGCTAGATTTTCTTCCAAAAACATTTACAACTCTTTTATTACTAATGTAAGGCGTAATACATTTATTATTACTATTTATTATTTCTTGTGATTTTTTCTCATTATCTTGAATTTCTGTTATCTTTTTCAGCAAGTTTTGATTTACTGGTGCAGCTTTCTTTTTAACAACTGTCTTTTTCTTGATTCCAGTAGATTTTATAAAAACTGACTGATCCTCTTGCCAACATTTAGCACGAAGTTCCTCCAATTTTGCAAATCGCGAATCGCAATCCTTTACTTGTAGGTACATCGTGTCCCAAAATCCATGTAAGTCCATACAAGTTACCAATACTTCACAATCTTTTTTCTCGCAATCTAGTATTAAATTATAAAATTGTTTAAACTTCTGTTTAATTAATATAGTTGTTTGTCCTACTGCTTGATTAATTCGGTAATAAATATCCTCTACATAAACTATTTGCGATTGAATTTCGATCCATTTCTTGCAAAGTTTTCGAAGCCTATTTTCTTCTTTATACAATAGACGTTTAAAATATGTAACGCTATATTTTGTTTCTTTTACTGGCACATCAGAATTGTTTGTTGCATCGTCTCTTATTGTAAGTTTTGTATTAAATAGTCCTGACGAATCTGAAAGCTGATAATAAAACTCAAAATTTCCTCGTTTATTTCATTTGATATTATTTATAAATGTATAACAATAACAAAATTTATATTAACTAAAAAAGAAAATAGCTCGAAAAATCTATCTTCCAAAATATTTAAATAATACTGATAATATAAGAGCATAGCAGTGTGATATAGTAGACAAAGCGCGAGTCGATCATCTAGTTTGATTCACGACAAATCAAAAAATTTTCGAACACTCGTTGCTCCTCTTTGGTGGTCTGGCAAATCACCAAGAATATCTATTACAAGAAAACCCTTGCGAAAACCTTAATATCGAAATCGATATTAAATTGTAATTCCCATACGTCTACGTACGATTTGCGTGCGTACCATGAACATACGTACAAAAGGTGCAATGAGCCCTATTTCGACTTTGGGATGTTACGCCATTGAATGATAATATAAAAAACATTATAACGAAAGAAATAACAAAATAATTCTAATTTTTACCATATGTGCAGAAAATCCTAAAGGTGGAATTTCATCATTGTTATTCAATCTCGAATTTGTTCGCATTTTTTGCGAAAAATCTGAAGTTGCCGGTTCAATTGGTGATAACTTTAACGTGATCGATTCTACAAAATCAAAATTATGAGAAGCTGATTTCTGGTGAGCGACTTCCATTGAAGTATCAAATGCAAACACATTATTTTTCTTTAAGGAGTTACTTTCTGTACATGTTTTTTCACATAAAGATGTTCTGAATATTGATAATTCGGGCGGATTAAATTTATAATTAGAAGGAGCAAAGGATTTGTTGGCTTCAATTTCGTTATTCGACTTTGTAGAAGGATTTATCCTGGTCGGAGTTCTAGGTTTTTGTTTTATTTCAGCTTTTGCCATCTTAGCTTGTAGCCGCTTTTCCGTAGCTTTTGTAATTTTCTTTATAACATTGGAGTTTTTGTGCTCTTGAGTAACTGATTTCTTCTTTCTTTCAGATGTTATTGAGTTTGTTGATATCGGAGAATAAATATGATGACGAACGATACCAACTACAAATGGAGGCTTTTTATTTGATTCCTTTGCTTTCTTTTCTCTTATTCGCTTCTCTTTCCAGTTTATTAACTTTGTTCTAAATTCATCTGACACATCAAATATTTCAAATAACGAAATTTTTTATTTAATAAAATAATTTTTACAAATATATGTGGCAAGCCATTTTACTTTTTTAATAGATAAAAAAAATTTTGTCCAGTGTAAAACTCTTAAAAACTAATTGTTTAAAAAAGAATTACGGCTCTTATTAATAAATTAAAATTATGTCGTGACATTATAATGAATCTATAGATTATAATTATATGTATGTCGAAAGTTTAAAATAACTCCGTGTTTTTATTATATTTTGATTCATTATTTTTATATCCCGATGTTTTTATTTACAATTAAGAACCGTAATTCTTCTTTAGACTTACTTTTTAAAAATTTTAAATAAAATTTCCTTCATGCTGTTAAAAAGTAAAACAGTTTATCATAAACATTTTATTGATACACAAAGTTCATTTAAATTATTTTAATAGGATTATACCGACAGTTTTTTATTTTTCAAGAAATAATAAATAAGAATATCAATTTATAGGATTATGTTAAATATATATAATTAATGTAAAGTATACCCGAGAAAAAATATTTTATATATAATTATAGAAAATTATATATATAATATGTTCATTTATATATAATTATATATATAAAATTATATATTTTTTTATGTAATTTTATATAATTATATATAAAATATTTTTTCTCTGATATAATTAATGTAACACAAATAATGTATACAATACTAAGTCAAACAGACTAAAAAGTAATAAATACAAATAAAAGAAGTATATCATTTTCGGTCAAAGCGAGTCTTAATATTGTAGGTAAATAAATTTTCGAAATATCGAAATACATGAAATTAATAACGAATTTGATTTTGTCGTTAAGCAAAAACTTTTTATAATTTGATATTTTATAATTTTATATTGCATTTTTATTTTTATATAACAGATTAAAACATTGTACTTTAATATACACTAGTGCGTCCAAAATTATAAAAATACATCAAAGTTGGCAAGTTTTCGAAATATATACACTACATAAGAAAGAAAAATTGTTCATTTGACTTAATTTGAATTAATGTAATTCGTTTATTTCTTTTGATAAAAATATATGTATTTAAGTCAAATATAATATAATATGAACATATATTCAATGTAAGAAATAAATATACTGTTAAGTTAATTTAATCAAATGAATAATTTTTTCTCAGATGTTGGTATATAATGCAAGCAATTACATAATAATATCTCGACGCACCTTTTTGCGATGTCACTGAACAAGGTGAGGCAATAATTCGATTTTTCTTGAATTCGTCTGCTCGACGTTTCTTGCGTCTGTCATGTTGTTCTTGACCAAGGCTCAATCTAATTTTTTCTACAGCACCAAAGTTAGATGGCAGCTTCTTATAATGTACAAGGTACTTATTTTTTAATTGTACTACTTTCGGCTTCATCATGATTCCTTGAATCACAATTTGGTTACGACACGTTTCACCTCTACAAACAGTATGTTTGAATTTCATTTGAAATGCTGGACAAAGATGGTTGGCAGTGTTGCCAACCAAAATATAGTGGAATTGTCATATTCTAAACGAAATATCTCGAGAGCATCTTTTTTTTCCAAAATTTAGATACACATTTACTTTATTTTAAACATAACAAACAACACAGTGTAAACGAAGAACAAATCTAAAGACAAAAAGAAATAAAATAAGAAAAAACTCGTTTCTATTATTTTGAACACTGTAGTCGAACGTGATTGGTTTGTATCTGTAGATTCAACCGATTGGTTTCGAACATTATCCAAAAGACGCCCAATGATTGGATTGCGAGCATATATTGTATCAAATTCGATGATAAAACGCTCAGTAATTAAAAACTTTTTGTATAATTGCAGTATGATAGTGTAAAAATCATTTTTTAACGATCTAGGAGCAATATCGAGAGAAAACTATCTTTTAAATATGTTTTTCAGCGTTCATTATAAAGAGATAAATTCCCTTCTTTTTGCTTGCATTAACGTAACATCTCACGTACATCTTGCAATCGATATCTCTCTGCTTGCATCACAACTGAGCCGACTGAGGTCGTCGATTAGGTCAAATCTCATTCCTCGTCAAACGTTTCGTGCAACTGTCACACGTCACGTTAGGTGAGCATATTCGGAGCAACGTCTAGCGTGTCAGAAAAACTGTAATTTATTTTGCAGCTTGAAGTCACGTTTTTGTGAAATTTATTTGTCTTTCCTTGCACGACTGAACACTTTCAAGAAATGTTACATGCCGGTTTCATCGTCTCGTATCGGAATTTCATTAGCATAAGGTCGTTAACAATCGTGATTTCACTAATATCGTGATTCTTTGACGTGTAATTATTTTTAATATAAATCAGACTTTCTTGTGTTGTACATCAGTTTTTTTTTTATATTGAACAGATAAAGAATGACCTTGACAAGGTCGATATGTAACTTGACAAATATCCGTGATTTATCAATATTTAGCGTTTATATTGTCAATAATTCAACATTAATTTTTAGATTTCCGCAAGATTCATAATTTATGTAATTGTTTTCTAAATTATATTATAACTTAATGTCAGTTCCTGTATCTTACACTTTGCTGCAATATTCTTAATTGATAGTTGTTTTTCTTTATTTAAAAATTGTGATCGCTTATTTAATTTTGCTTGAATTTATTATATCTTTTTATCATAATTGTTACAATTTGTTAGTAACATCAAACATTGATCGTGTTACGATCCAATTATTCAAAAATGATCAGATAATTGTAAATTAAAAAGATTATATCTTTAACGAAAAGCTTTAGACAACAGCATAGTATAATATTACGATAATTTTGTAACACAAAGATTCTAATGTGAGAAATAGACGTAGAAATAGATTTTTACGAACGATTTTTATTCTTAAAGAACTGACACGTTTTATAATTTTCTTGTGTTGTTTTATATTGTAGTTCTTTAATCTCAACAAGGTTCTTTACATCAACAAGCAATTGTGTCAAAATGCCTATTAAAAGCATCAAAGCCCGTCAAATCTACGATTCCCGTGGAAATCCCACAATAGAGGTAATTTATTGAATCTTAAAAATGTAATATCTTATTGAATATTTTTTTAGTAATATTATTTGCTTTTTTAGGTCGATCTTGTCACCGAACTTGGACTTTTCCAAGCAGCAGTACCATCTGGTGCCTCTACTGGTGTCCATGAAGCTTTGGAATTGAGAGATAATGATAAATCAAAATATCATGGAAAGTCGGTTTTTAAAGCTATAGAAAACGTAAATTGTATCATTGCTCCTGAATTATTGAAGGTATTTCTATATGATATACAAATATCAAATATTTATATAATATTTGACATTGAAAACATAAAAACATTTGACAAATGTGATATTATTTTCAAGGCTAACTTAGAAGTTACACAGCAAGCGGATATCGATAATTTCATGCTGAAGCTGGATGGCACACCAAATAAGTCCAAACTTGGAGCGAATGCAATTTTGGGTGTCTCTTTAGCAGTTTGCAAGGCTGGCGCTCAGAAAAAGGGCTTGCCTTTGTATAAGTAAATATAGCTCATATAAATCAATCATTCTTATATAAAGAGAACATTATTTTACATAAATTATAAAGAAATGAAAATATCGTATACAATGGACTTTTTTGGTAGATTTTTATTTTTTTATTTTCTTTTAAAAAGATTTCATTTTTTCGAAACGCTATAATTTTAAAATAATTGTAAGTAATTATCTTTAATAATAAATATTTTTATGTAATATTTTATAAAAGTTTAATATACTTAAAAAAAATCTGCACTTTTATGTTTCGAGATAAAACTGTTCTTTCTCAAAGTAAAATTATTTTTCTACTTATTTTTCTTGTAAAGATAAAAAACATCTAAATATATAAATATACATATTTATCTTACAGACATATTGCTGAGTTAGCTGATAATAATGACATAATCTTGCCAGTACCAGCATTCAATGTTATTAACGGAGGTTCTCATGCTGGAAACAAGCTGGCTATGCAAGAGTTTATGATCTTGCCTACTGGCGCGTCCAACTTTACAGAAGCGATGAAAATGGGCAGTGAAGTCTACCACCACTTGAAGGCAGGTATCAAGAAGAAGTTCGGTCTCGATGCCACAGCGGTCGGTGACGAGGGTGGTTTTGCACCAAATATTTTGGAAAACAAAGAAGCTCTTAATTTGATTATAAGTGCTATTAAGGTAAACTAAAAGAGATTTATAACTCAAATGCATTTGTTATTTTCTAATAATTCGATAACTTGCAACAATTTTATTCTCAATATGTAGACCGCTGGTTATGAAGGAAAGATCAAAATTGGTATGGATGTTGCCGCTTCCGAATTCCACAAAAATGGGAAGTATGACTTGGATTTCAAGAATGAAAACTCTAATCCAAGCACATATCTGGAACCAGAAGCACTGAAGAATTTGTACTTGGAATTTGTCAAAGAATTCCCGATCGTATCGATTGAGGATCCCTTCGATCAGGATGGCTGGGATTCTTGGACATCTATAACCGCGGCTACTCCCATTCAAATTGTCGGTGACGATCTTACCGTTACAAATCCCGAGAGGTAACATATAATATAAAAACTTTATCTGCTATTACCATTTAAAATTAAACTTGCTTGTACAAAAAATTAAATTAAATTTTATTGTATGATGTTACTTTACAGAATTAAGACAGCTATTGAGAAAAAAGCTTGCAACTGTTTATTGTTAAAAGTCAATCAAATCGGTAGCGTGACTGAATCCATCAACGCTCATAATCTTGCCAAGAGTAACGGTTGGGGTACTATGGTCTCTCATCGTTCTGGAGAAACGGAGGATACATTTATTGCTGACTTGGTCGTTGGTCTTTCGACTGGCCAAATTAAGACGGGCGCACCCTGCCGTTCGGAACGTTTGGCCAAGTACAATCAGATTTTGCGTATCGAGGAAGAGCTTGGAGCAGCCGCGAAATACGCTGGAGAGAAATTCCGCAACCCTCATGCTTAAAGGAGATAACTATCATAGATTCATTATCGTACAATTTTAGCAGTCCGTAATGTCAATCAGTTATTCATTTTGTGATCATTCTAGGCACACTGCAGTTTGAAGACATATCTTTCTTAATCCAGATAAACAATTCATGATATACATTATGCACAATAATAGAGATTATGCTAAATATGATACAGTTGTCACGTTAGGAATCCATAAAAAGGAAATTTCTATAGAGAACGAAAAAAGATGTAAAGTTGACAATGTTATAGTTTTCCTTTTTTGTTTTATTAATTTATTAAGTCATTAATAATTTTTATTTTTTATTTTTACGAGATATAAATGTTATAAAAAATTAATAATCCTGTCAACTGTATATTAAAAATATAATTATAAGTAATATATCGAAGAGGGATATATTGAAACACGAATATATTAAAAAAATACATTAATGAATATAAAAAAAATGTTATATAGCGATTATAGATATCTCTATATATGTAACATACACAAAAAGTGAGACATTCGAAAAGATAATAGTTTTATTCCAGTGTCAATGTGTGTTCAAAGTATTACATTCGAAAATCGAATAATGATAGATTATAATAAACATTGTTCCCAAAATCATATCTGTAAAAATAAACGTAAAAGAAGTTCAAATAAAATTTAATTCGGGCTAAAATAGATTAAATTACAAGGCCTTCTATCATCCCCAATTATATTCGATATTCTTTGCATTTTATACTTCTTAATTTATTATTTTATGCAAAATATAATTTAATGTCATAATAAAATACAATATAAAATTATAAAATACAATATAGTAAAACGTACAATATGTATATAAATAAGAGTATAGAAATATAATATAATATATTACAATACAAAATATATAGTAAGTTTTGCATGTATATATAATAGCTTACAAAATATTTTATTAAAAGAGAACGAAGATGTATAATAACAAAATTCATCATTTTTTACAAGGCATATACTATTATCATTAAACGGTTATAAATTTTTTACGCGATAATGTGATCAAAAAGATGATTAAAAATTTATCAATTATATCTGTCAATACAAAACAATATTATAATTGTTAATCTCTTGCAAAATTATCAAAAAACAATCAATCAAAAAAATTATCAATTAACATATAAAAAGATAGGCGAATATAGCCTAATGCAAAACAATAAATCGGTATATATTATATATTATCTGTCGCTTTTTATTGTCTAAAGAAATACATTTATTTTATTAAATAATTACAACGGAATAAAAAATCTCTTATCAAAAGTTTTATTTTATTCAAATATTAATTATAAAGTTTAAATAAAATTTTTTAACTTATATATCTAACCACACATATTTCCATACGTCAACATGATATTCTTAAATATCTCGAATTAGTAAAAATATATACAATTACATTAAATATTATCGCAGTCATACATAAATTCTAATTAGGTTTAATTCTTATTTATACTCAGATAAAGGGATTGAACAATTAGATTCAGCTTTTGTAGGCACATCTGTGTTCTGTTTTTTCGTCTTTGTTCTGGTTATCCATAGAAAGTTATTTTGCTGTAAATATACAATTATGCATTCATCATACACTGTAGCTATTAATAAGTTTGTTCCATTTCTTAATTAAATTTTCTTACTTGAAAGTATTCTTCAATTTCTTGAAGGGTGCGATCCTTCGTTTCTGGTAGAGCAAGATAAATAAAAATTGCTTCCAAAAAAGAGCAGATGCCGAAGATAGTGAAGATTCCTGTTGTGCCAACTAGACTGTTTACCTTTAAAATATTTAATGTATTATTATATGTTATATTAACAACACAGAAATATGTAGAATATTTTATATAATAGTAAAAATATATACATTTTATATGTATATATATATATATATATATGAAAATATTCTATTTATTTTACGACTTGTTTTATTAATAAAAGGTTGACTTATTATTTGCATTTATATTATATCCTTGTTGGAATAAATGTTACTTAAGGATTGAATATCAGTAGAATATTGTATTATTTTTTTAATAGAATATTTTTTAATTGCTTATATAAATGATATTGAAAAAGGAAATTTTCTTTTCATTATATTTTCCAAAATTGTTATTTGTTTTCCAAACCTTCAACATCTTTTCTAACTAATTCAATCATTTGATTTATTATAAATATCATTTGTAATTTTGAATAAAGTGAGAAACAGATTTTCTTCTACAATATCTTTTAAGCAATGTACTTCTAGAAAATGTTCTGCCAGAGAAATAATATTGTACTATAGTAATTACACCATTCAACTATGATTCTATCAACAAAGATAGATCCTGTTATTAAAGACAAATAACTTCTTATTAATAAGATAAATAAATATTTAAATAGTAGGTATATTTCTCACAGATTCACATTATTTTATCTACGTATGTATATTTATAATATAAGATTAAGAAGTTCCTTAATTTTCGTTATAATTATTTTTTCAATAACTATGCAATTACTATTATGTTAAAAATAAGGAAATATAATCGTTATCCATTCGTAAAAATTACACTATAATCATTACTTTTATTGTTACTTTGTACGAATACATATATACGGAACATGCATAAGCAAATGTTTAGACTAAGTTGCGATTAATTATAATTATTGTAGATCGCTCAAGCAGAACAACAAATTACAATATCAAAATGAATCGTTATTTTGACTTTTAACAATCATTTTGGAGTCATTTGTATATTATAATGACTTATGTTTTACTTGAGTCTCATATTGAACTCGTTAATTAGCAACATAAACAATTGGATGCTCTAAAGAAAAATGTATCAAAATAAATAATGAGTTACTTTTATAAAGTAACTTTCCCAACTCTGTTGTTTGTACTTAAAACAAATAAACAAATATATTTTCATATAATATAAAATATAAAATATATATATTTTCATTAAAATTTTTATCTCACACACAAAAGGAGTGCTGTGTAATAAACTTTTGAATTTTAGAATGCGATGTATTACCATTGGAAAAAATTTGGTCATGAAGAACAGAAGTAGATTGAAGATAAAAAAGATACAGCCGCCACCGATGCCACGAGCTCTCAGAGGCATCAATTCACCGACCATCAGGCCAGGAAGTATTAGTAGACCCAAGGTATTCGCACCGACATAAAACAACAAACATACAGCCAACACGTAGACCTGGAATCATTTGTTTAATTTATACGTTATATATACTTGAATAAACCGAAAAATAAGACTAATTGGGAAATGAACAAATACTCACATCCACGGAAGATCCCTCCTTTCTAGCAATCAAATATCCCGCTAAAATCAATGAGGCCAAGGACGAGCCAAGTGCTGAAACGATGCCTAAAGCTCGTCTACCCATTTTAAGTAACAAAACACAGGAAACGAGGGAGAAGACAAATCTGATAATTGCCGTCACCACGGCCGCCAAATAATTATCAATGTTGCCATTGTCTAAAAAAATCGGCATAATAATAATTTCCATACTTTTTTCTGTTATCTTATTTACTTTAAATATTTCCACTCAAAGCTTTTATGCGCAGATGAAAATTAAAGTTTCGCCCAAATAATATTATATAATTTTTTCTCACCTATGTCCTTGATCATATCAACGGCATAAAAGACAATAATGTACGTTCCGCTGCTTAATTGAAGCGCATTGAATACGTTGATGATAATCAATGGTTTCAACACGCCCGGATCGCGAATTGTGGACATTATAGAGGAGATCCTCTTCATAAACGAGGTATTTACAGGCTTCTTAACAAAATTGGCTTTTATGCTTGTGTCTAGGAGCTCTATCTCTTCAAGCATCTGATTAATTAAAATAGTTTTAATTATATGTACATTTTGTTATATCAGTTTCACAATTAACTTTCAAAAATTTCTTGTACTTGAAATGAGAGAGTTATAAATTTTTACCTGTTCAGTATTACCGCCTCTAAGCCACAAAAGAGCTTTCTTGGCTTTGTCTATTTTTTTCCGTCTAATAAGCCAGGCGGGACTTTCAGGAACCAAACAAAGAGCAATAAAAGCTGCAAGAGGAAGTAGAATAGCATAGAAGGCCACGATGTCCCAATTAAAAGAAGCACCGAAAGCATAAACCAGCAAGATTCCGGCACAATATGCGCTGAACGAACCAACCACCAGGAAGCCACGGAGACCTGGATATGCTGTTTCTCCTACCAGTACCTAAACAAATCACAACATACATAGTTTGAAATACACATCATCTTTTAATATCAATAAAAAAATTAATACATAAATATTAATAAATAAATAATGAGCTTTTTAAATTCAACATAGAAAAAATTTTATTTAAATTTATTGATTATTATTTAAATAGAATAAAATAAAACAAAATTTTTCTGTTAAAAAAATTTCTGATTGATTTTACTATAATTGAGTAATAAATGCATTCGAGTAATAGGAAACAGCAGGCGATATATATCCCTAATAATAGTACAAATTTTTTCTACCGCACTAAGCAAAAGATAAATATAGTGAAATAAGTAGAGAAACCGATCGATAAGATAAATAGTAAAAGTCAAACAGCGAACCAAATGGTAGAAGTTCATTCATGACTAAAGAAAGGTTAAACCAATCAAGAAAAAGGTAATTGCACTTAATGTCACTACGCGTGCGTTAAATGTCGTTTAAAAAAAATTCATGATGCCAAACATGCAGAAAATGTGCGTTTTAATAATTAAATAAATTAAATAAGAGCATGTGTAAATTGAGTAATCAATAAATTAATTTTTTCTACATAATATAACTTTTTAAACGTTAATTTATATGTTCAACTTTGAAATCAATCGGAAATTCTTTTATTAAATTTCGTGTCATTCAAATGTCAGTAAAAACTTAAATAGTATTTGTACCTGTGCGGGTACCGCCATGAATCCTACGGACAAACCGCAGATAACTCTTCCAACTAAAATAGAAGTCACATTCCTCGACAAGCCGATAATCAACCAGCCTATGCACAGAGGAATTGCCGACAATTGAAGGCAGCCTCGTCGACCAATCGCATCGAGGAACGGTCCTGATAACAGCGATCCAATAGGAGTAGCCAGACTGTGAATTGCAGCTACACAACAAATAATTTATCATTTTAAAAATTACATTTGATCCATAAAAAAATATAAGTTTATAAAAAAAAATACTCCAAGTAGCAAGTGGACATCAAATGACATCTTAATAACATCTTTAACGTAAATGTGACGTAATAAAAAACATCCCTTTGCTACTTGGAACTATCCTATCCTTTCTTCTAACATCCTCCTCCTGACTCTTCTGTTTTGTAGACAAAAAGATAAAGAACTTAACGTACTTTTCTCGTCCATTTAAGAAATTGTGTACCATAAAAGTTAACGAAATATTGGAGTCTAAGCGCGACGTAAATGTAGATTTATGCATCAATGAGCGTAAATAATGGCGCATACATAGCTGCGCGCCGATCGTAAAACTCTTACAAGCTTTGTTAAACCGTTATTATACATCGTAGGACATAACAGAGCAATTAACGGTCTATATACGATCGTATGTATATGATGTATCTATGCACTATTATTGGACTGGACGTAGGATGCTTTTGTTCTAAATGTTAAAAGTTTAACTCGCAACGACACGCTCATAATCGCGTATTATCATCGCGTACGTGATTATCGATACACGGTACCTGCGCAGGAAATAAACCTACTGAAAATTCCTGTCGACATCGCAGGAAAAGTCTCTATTGAATCAGATTATTCTCGCTTTATTATTCGGTAATTTAAGGGGATAAGATTATAAGTACATTGCTGCATACTTGAATTGAGACGAGATACAAGTTCCTTGCGTCGTCCTTGCGGAGAATGAGAAAAGTTAGCTCGTAACATAAAAATTTACATTTTATAATTAGAAGAGTACTGTAATATACTCAGAAAGCCTCCAAAGTGATAACTATTTCAATTCATACTCGAGGAAATAAAAACTTCAAATGATACGATAGATGACTTTGTTATTGATCTCTCATTATTGGTATTCGATATATCGTTACGAAACTGTCATTACAGAATGCTAGTAGTACTAACTGTAATTAATGCAAATTGCAATTCCACTTCTTCCTATCCCAAGCTATCAGCATTCTCTGTGCATTGCTACTGATTGCATTTTTATTGTGTTACTTCCTCTTTAATGAAATTAAAGGGATTTCGTTACACATACCTTTGTTACAGAAGAAAAATTTTACAGTTATATCCAAGTTTAATCAGACAAATGCAGAACAGCTACGAGATTCACGACTCAAGAAAAAAGTTGCTGAATATAAAAGCGAAACGTAAATGAAACAAATTTATCATAAAATTTATACAGTTCATTGTTAATTTAACACATTAATGTTTAAATTTTTTATTTTGTTTTTTATTTTTCCTCATTAGAAACTTAGACTTACAAATCATAGCTGCTGTTCATTTATTATTACATCAGATTATGACGTCAGAAGCGAAAAAGTACATAAAAAGATTTTTGCGAATTATTATATATTTGAATAGAAATATTTTTCAATAAAAAACAACATTTGCAAACAATAAATTAGACTTATAAAACATATCAAAAATTATAATTATCTTCAGATTCTTATTGTTTATATGTAATTTTTTTGCTTCTGGAAGAAATTAAATCGTATTTATTTCTATTATTATATTATTACAGTTTGTCATAAAGAGAAATAATTGGAACTTTATGATAATAATAATTTGAGACTTTTGTGTTTACTCATTACTACTATCTCAAATTGTGACGTCAGAAGCGAGAAAATTCAATACAAATTTTGCAAAATATTTTAATATGCAAATATATTTCCATAAAACAACAATCAATAGAATTGACTTATAAAATATATACAGAAAGCTTTCTTTTTGTTTTATTAATTAATAAATAATAAAATTAATAAATAATCATATATTTGAATTACATAACAAAAACAAAATAAAGTTTATTTCATTTATTAATTAATGGACAAAAAGAGAATTAATTTTCGGCACATAAATTATATTTAATTATATTTTATACATCGATTTTATCAATTGTTTTATTGAAATATATTTCCATTTTAAAATTTTCATATTTATTTTGTTATTTTTCATATAAATTTTTATTGTGTTATTTTTTCACTTCTGATATTACAATCCGAGATAATAGTGGTAAATAAAGGAGTTTTAAATCATTCTTATTATATATAAAGCTTTAATTGTATTTCTTTAATGTACTGTATGTTTAATTTTTTATTCAAATTGATTTTCAGACATCAAAGAATGCAATTTTGCGATAAGCAATGCATCAATAACGCATGAGGCTGTAATGAAATATTTTAATGTGTTGACGCGGCGACTTATAAATGAGCGAATACTGAAGCAAATATTGAATTATTGCCTCCAATGATTGAATGAATAATGAGTTTAGAAACTTTTAGAAATCATTGATCAAATGAACCATCAAGCATTATAAAAGATGCGTGCAGTTTCCAATAATCATTTGCGATAAATGGCAAAATAAATTCTGGATTATAATGGGAAAATTATTCGTACGAAAATCACCTACAAAAAACTCATAGCTCGCGATTCGACCTCAATATATTTCATGTGTTCGTCAGCAAACGTGTTTTAACGTACGTTTTTTTTATATTTATACATTTTAAAAATAACTCCTTTATGTCCCATTCAATCGCCTTATGCAAAATCTTGTAGACAGAGAGAGACATATAAAAAAGGATTTCGTGTCATATCTCCGTCTCCAGTTTTAAAATAATCGAAAATTTTACAACATCAAATACTCTCGATGATTTTGATAGTTTCATCATTAAATGCTGTTTTCTAATTGACTTTTGTTATATCTTCTGAATTTTTAATCTAATTTTTGGCCATCTCCTTTTATACGTAGCTTTTTTTCGTACTTTATTGCTGTCTATAAAATCAACGTAAAGCAATATTGAGGATTCTTGTGTGGCTTCGTATAAATGCAAGCTTTTATGATAGCAGTCATACAGCCGCCATTTGCAAAGTATAACATGTATAATACGCTGAGCATCGCAAGTTTTATGACGTTATAAAATATATTTTCACCCCGTACGTGATAATATATAGCATTATGTGCCGACACTTGCTTTTGCCATATACACCGTACGTATAGAATGGTAAATGAATTTTGCGCACTTTATACGCGATATGCACACACAATAAATTAAAATGCATAAGGAAAACTATTAAAATTCATGTTCCGACCAATGCTGTAGTTTTGCAGCTTTTTGCATTATAAAAAGGTCATCCGACCGATTTCATTCACTTATGAAAGGTCGTAATATTTTTCATGTAATCAGTTAATTATGGCATTGAGCTCACATACATAGGTTTTCAAACGGTATCCTTCCTGCACGAACTTGGTCTTGACACTCATTGGTAAAGAGACAAATCCAATTACCCAATGAGACAGTATGTAGGTCAGTTACAGTATGCAGTTTGCAACAATCGGCGACGCTTCATTTGCGCGAGGGTCATGATAGTGCAACCTTGAACCTGCTTCTTGAACTCGCAAGGACTGTGAGATCTCTAATCTCATTCATAGAAATTACGTGTACAGAACTTTATCTCTCGATTCAATGTAAAATTCTATGATGTAAATCACTTAATTTATTTACAGAAACAAGATAAAAATTTGCAAAAATTTTATATTCAAAATTAAAATCTGCTATTTTGTGTAAAAATCCTTTAAAAATACCTTCTATCTCTTTATTAATAACAAAATTATTGAACATGCATTCTTACCTATCCAAGAACCAGTTTCGCGATCCACGTGCAAGGTACTATTTTCTTCTGACAATTGTGGCAACAAAACTGCGCTGTAACCAATCGGTATACCGCCTCCCGTTGCCACCAATAATACTGCACCTGTGACTAAACACTGCAAACAATGCAATCGTTAATTACTTGATTGTGTTTGCCACAATTGTTATGCTATTATTTAGTAATACTTTATTTAAGCGAATAGTAAATTAATGAACAAGTGCACGACCGCAATTAGCATATACTTTAACTGAATCAATAAATAGAGCTGTAATCTAAACTGAAAATGAAAGAAATGATAGTTTTTTAAATGATTGATATGTGTAAGTTTGGACATGCGTAAGTTTTACTGAAAGATTAACGATCGTAAAGTACATATGTTTTTCGATTCTTTCGCTCGGTTCTTTTACAAAAGAATTGAAGTCACGAGAAAGAACTTTGGAACAGTTCCCAAACAAATCCGTAGTCATGTACAAGAGCAAACTCCACCTAATTGTAAAGAGGATAAGAAACCTGTGATTGACAACTAGCCAAGATTTACTACTGCTTCGCTACTCCTTTTCTATAAAACTTAAATCGTTATTATATCGTGCAAAATTTGTCTCGTTTAGTATGCACGATGAGTACACCAATATTCGATTAAATGAATAAAAAATATATGTGAATGCGAATATGAATACAAATTTTTTTGTATTGAACGAGAAACGAATAATAAAAATTTTCCCATTGAAATAAATATTTTGCGAAAATAATTATGAATATTTTCGTTTTCGCACTCACTTTCACTCTAGTCCTGATTTACATATAAACATGATTATATAGAGAAGAAAATGAACGACACCCATACCTTATATGCAGCGCTCTATTTTAATCCTTCACCCACAACAAATTAAGGGTAAAGATTATACAATATATCATCTCGAATAAACACTTATATATAAATTATATGTCATCTCAAATAAAAACTTATTAATAAAAAAGGTATTACCTTCTAAAATATTTCTCAAAATTTATAAGTTTTCCCCAAATCTGAATATTACTGAATTTAGGTGACAAAAATAAATAAAATTTTTTTCTTTCCTTTAAAATTATTAAAATATTGATTATAGTAATAAGGAAGCAATGGTTACTTATTGAGGCTCTCTTTTTCAGTACTCTCTTTTTTTCATACTTTGAATATGAACATTTATAAAATATTCATAATTTTTTCATGAATAAATATTTTTAAAAACCCACACTTTTTGGATAAATATGCGCAATTATTTTTAAGTGAAAATTTTTAATAAATACAATTTGTAGCCCAATAACAAGCTTTTGTTTTCATTACATAAAACAGTGCAGTTCTATAGATACATAAGCTACAGGATATTTATACACCGTGCGATGTCCAAGGTAAAAATACGCATTAACAGAATTCTTACTGCTCGAGATATATAGATATGTATCTCGCAAAAAGCAGCAATTAACATATCACAAACAAAAAAATATAGGCAAATGTGAATCTTTACTGAGAAAAGCATACAGTTTGACTTATTATTCTGCAATTGGCGCGTTACAGAAAGATTGAAAAGACATAATTTATATTTATATTTTGTGGTGTACTTTGTATTTGTATTTATTTTCCTAGATTTTAGAACTTTATGTTTTGCTACTGAAATTGATATACTGAATTCAGTATTCAATTTTTTTTTTAAACAACATTTATATTGTTTACATGATGCACTACGTTATATTTTTTTCTCTGAAAAGATAAAACTAATAGAATAAAAAGAAAGCATGAAAGATGAAAAATGGTAGGTGTATTGTGTTTGGTACTTTTCTATCTATTTTGAAACAAAAAAATATTCTGGCATTAATCCAGAATATCTACGTTGATCTCGCATCGTTGAGCACGCATTGCACTCCTGCAACGCTGCAAATTTTCTTCTGTGTTGCCAGTTTATTTATTGTACTTTAGTTGTAAATGATAGCAAACAAAAATTTATTACATACAATAAACTTTTGCAATAGTTTTTGATACGTTGAAGAATTTTTAAATTTCAAATCCACTATTATATGCTTTATTGTTTAATAATAAAAATAATAGATAATTAAAGAATTTTTAAAAATGTCAAATAATAAAATTTTATAAAATAATATTTAAAAAAATATAAAATTGTCTCATATATAAACAATTTCATTAATTAACATAAAATGTTAATCATATATCTACCTGCGCGAGCACTCCTTTCGAATTCGATTGCGTAGTCGATTCCTTCTCATTCAAAATTCTCTCATCATGTTTGAGATTATTGTTATTGTTGTTCTCGAGATCTAATGGACTCTCGTTTGTTGAAGTGTAGCCCATCATGGCACGCCCTTCCTCGCTGTAACTTCAGAAAGTAAAAGTATAATTTTCTAACCTGTAAGCACAATTTTAAATTTTTCATTTCAAATTATACATTACCTCAAATCGAGAGCCATATTGATTCTACTGAATTGTAATAGCTGAAATCCTAAATATCTCTGATTAGTACCTCTGGTCACGAGATGAGCGTCTCTATCACTACGTCTATCACCAAAAAGTTCTGATCACGTTCATCATAATCTTGCTGTAGTTTTCGTTTTACATTATGTAACTCAAGAAATTCTTGAGATTTTAATCCTATCCTCATCCAGCAAGTATAAATATTTCTTCTAAATCAAATCAATTAAATTTTTATGAGATTATTACGTACTCAAATCTGTTTTAATGTAAATGATAATTTCATATTCATAAAGACTTGTTAAAAGTTTTAGGATTATGTTTACAGTAGGATCTTTTTAAAACAAAAATATTCTCCGAGATACACACACACACACACACACACACACACACACAAAAGAACTTTAACAATTAAAAAAAAACATTATTGCAAATGTATTAATTATTGAATCTATAGAAATCTATAAAAACGAAGGAGTTCATTTTATAACATGAGCGAACATTTTAAGCCTCGGTAGTCTAAAAGTTAAGGACACTCGCACAGAATGCAAGAGATCCAGGTTCGACGGATTCTCCCGGCCGAGATAATATTTTTCATAATAAATATTAATTATTTACAGATTTTAATATTTTATATGCCACTCAGCATAATTAAGATCGTTTCGAAGATGCGAAAAAACATCAAAATTCATTAAATTGCTAATAATTTAATTCGTGATATTATTGATACTATGGTAATTTAGTAGAGTTGACATTTCAAGATCGAAAAATTATTTCGACGCGCGTTTCAAAGGATACATACGTAATATAATATATAAATTCACACAGAATCATAGAAGCATTTAAGATCCAGCTAGACCATTTAAAGCTTTGATTGCTATAGTTTGTGTTATTATATGTACGGTTTTATAATATATTATATTATTTTTTATTTTTTTAAATTTATGTTAATTATCAAAACAGAAAATTAATGTAGTATATATTTTTAAGATATTGCTATATTTATTTAGATATTATATATTATATAAATTACGAAATAATGAAAACGATTATTTGAAACAGATAAAATGTTGTTATTCATTTAATGCTTTTATCTCTCTGTTTATCTCCATCTTATATCTTTCATATCAGATTTATTTTTTTATATGTAAAATCTTTTTTCCATATTTTTTAATGGATCTTGTTTATATTTTCAATTTCTTTTCAGCTGTGCAAAAAAGCATAACAGAACCTCGATATCTTATTATCGATTGTCACAAAGAGTTTTCTAAATAAATTACATGATAATTACGTAATTATAACTGTGCAGAAAACATGTGCAGAAAAATGTAACATATAAATACTTTTATTTATACTTTTTTTATTATATAACGCAGCAGATCTCCCAATAATCTTGCGGCTTCAGACGACGTAGTTAATATACACCAACTGTATGCACATTCGCTAATTATTAGCCAACATTCATGTCGTGTGTGAGTATATGTGTAATATTTGCTATTCTGGCGTATATTAGCCATGTCGTCTAAAGTTGCCTTTACTTTATATGCGTTTGAAACTTAGAAAATATTCTAACATTTCTAACTTCCGATATTTAGTAGGCATAGATATATACTGACTTTTTTTAAAGTAAAAGTACATATATTAACTGCATATTATTTGCTCAATTATTATAACATTGAACATTGTTACAAGAGTAAAAACTTTTCGGTAAAGTCAAAGACACTTGAAAAGTCATCGGTTTTATATCTTTCGCTTTTTACCTTTTTGTAACATAAAAAGAATACAATATAAATAGAATCTTATTTTATTAACAAAAATAGCATATTTATAAAGATTTAGAATTACTATGTGTTTAAGTGTATAGTAAATAAAGTTTTAAAAGAAATTCATAATTCTCAAAAGTAATTTTTAATCGCGTTTGAGGCATTTAAAATTTAAATAAATATTTATTCAATATTAAAGAAGCATAATAATTTATTACTTCTTTAACATAAAATTATTATTTTATGTTTAAAATTTTTTTTTTTAACATAAAATTATTATTTCTTCATTTTTTACGTGTACCAAACAAGATTAAAAATTACTTTTAAGAATCATGAATTACTCTTAAAATTTTTTAATTTACAATACAATTAAATAGATAATAATTTTAAATATTTACAAAGGTGTCATTTTTTTAACAAATAACTTATAAATAATATTATATTTATGTTGTATTCTTTTATTATAGGAAGATAAATAGTCAAGAGTAAACATAAAACTGATTATTTCTTTTTCAAATACTTTTGTTTTATGCGATCGCATAAATATCTTCCCTGGAGTTCTGTATGAAATGGAATATATATTCCAGAACTGAATGCGAAATGAATGAGTATTGGAGAAAATAGAAAGAAAGAAGAGAAAACTTACGATCTGGTTCAACTTTCTCTCTCTTATCTGAGAATGTAAGTCAACGTGGCACCGCGACTTTACACGCAGGTCGACTCATTCATCTCCCCGGAGAACATTGCACTCTTGTCTACAGATCGTAATTCACAGAGTAAAGCACTTTTGCAGAAACTTCATCTTGTCCCGTCTGTCAGCCTCTCGCTACTTCGGAAACGCCGAAGCAATCCTCACTTGGCAATTTTAGCTCCGTCTATCGTCTTGCGTGTAACGAGCGAACTTTGTGAAGACGCGAATGACAGAAACTGGATAAGCGGCAACTGATTCCCCTCCTTTTACAATGACTAAGCCGAATTAAATAAAGTGGAAGCGTCGATTGCGATATTGCGAAAGCCTGACTATCGATTATAGTATCATTTGTTAAGATAGAACCTGTGCGGGAATGCTCTCTGACTTTCAACTAAAAGTTAATAGCCTTGGTTTGTGTGTTTCCAGAGGTAATATAGCCTTTTAAATAATTAATTAAGTTGGAAGCGACGTCACCTTTAGCAACTGTCATCAGATCTATACTCTGCTTAATGTTACATACTTATATAGACTAAATAAACTTCGATGAGCAAAAGTTTCGATTTCTCTTTCGATTTTGTGTGTGCGCCTTAATGAAATCTTATTTACACACTGATAAATATGTACGTTATAATATAACACTACTTCCGCGTACAGTTGTTTGATGAGGAATTAAGTTCAATTTTACTAAATTCACATGTGTGTATGAAAAGAACGGTTTTGTTGTAGTATCTAAAAATTTAGCCATTAATAGTTAAATACAGATCTAACTATTATGTTGGATTATTAAAATAATTGCTTCAAACGCTTAAAGCTGGTAGTTGTTAGAATGTCAAAACAGCATTGTCATGTTTAAGTGCTCTATATAGTTATTTGTGATCGTAATTATTTTCAAATATTTGGTCTAATTTTTAAATTAGTAAAATCGTTCTTTCTTCATGTTCTTCCGATAATGAAGTCAAATCCAATCAAGCTCAATTCTACCTTATAATCTTTTTACAATTATAAACTTCATTGACTTTAGTTTTAGTGCTTCTCTTCTGAATAAGCACTTTCACAATATTCAAATCAGCATATTGATAACCAATATTACATCATTAACCGTGATCATACCGCTCGCAAACTTTTGCGAAATGCATATTAATGTTAACATGGCCTTAATTTTGCTTTGAACTCACGCAATTGAGAGGTAGTCATTCAATACTGTAGATATCTCTCTAATGATCCTTACTTTTGAGTAATTACACAGTTACGTGCACAGTTACAAAACGAGAACCGATAATTTTAGTGCCTCAACAGCACATGACGACAAATATACATAAATTTCATATTATAAATCTCCGGCTAACACGCATAGATAAATATTATATCTAACTCGCCTTACGAGTTACTCCGACTATACTGAATCAAACATTTGTTGAGACTCGCTCTTATAGGCTCACTTTGATTAGGCCCCTTTTTCGACGATGACCGCTGGTATCCATAATCCGCCATGAGGGCCTTGACTCGCTGACCTCTGCGAGAAAATGTCTGGGGACTCTCTTTTCTCAATGGAGGTAATAAGTGGAAGCTGGTTCGAGCAGAAGCACGCATCGTGCTTCAAATGGAGCACGATGCGTGTGTAAAAATAGCAGGTATTCCGATGTAATTTTATTATTTTCAAGAGATGCGTGAAAGAATTCAAATGATCGACCTGCTATTGATCCTATCGACTATTCTAACTAAAGAACTTTAATATAAGAAAAATACGATTTAATATTCGTCTTTGCGTTCTCTCTCTTTATCTGTAATATTTTTAAATCATAGTATCTTTACATGTTTCCAACTTTCTATATACTTAATTAATATTTACTTTAATATTATACAAATATTAAAATTTTTAATGGCAATTATAAAAATTATTTTATCTCTTCTTCTCCTTTTGCAATGATATAAAGAAGATAAATAAAAGTTATGTATGCTTATCAATTGAACTTCGTTTATTAAAGCCAATTAGCTATATTGCAAACTTCACGAGTATTTCACATAGGCGTTATCAGTATTATCATGTATATTTCACATGATACTGTTCTTATATAATATATCAGAAATTTATATTTAAAAAATGTGTTGACGCAATATATAAGCCACTTATATTAAATTTTTGATATCTACTTAGCTAAAAAAAACTAGCTAAAAAAAACTGTTTTTTCTGTGTGTTATTTCCAAAACTTGTGATGGTGCACAAATTAATAATAATAATTCATATCATGTGCATATCTGTGATACTTCATTTAAATATCAAAAATGCGTATAATACTTTTTTACTCTTGTAACAAACTTTGTCAGATATTATATGAAATTCGTAAATAATACTAATATTATTTATTAAACATTTTATTTGAAAAATAAGAACTTTATTTAAAAAATATTTTTGACATTTTTAAATCTTTATTTGAAGAAACAATATTTTTTTCTTTGATTCAATTCTTGCATGAATACTATTGCAATATTATATAGCGAGAATCAGATATTCTCATTTATATGTATGCACGAAAAGAATAATTTTTATTGAAATATATAAAAATCTAATCAGATATACACATCTGAGATATAATTACATTGTACCATATTAAAATAATATTAAAATAATTGTAAAATAATTACATAGGTTGCTCAATATATTGTATAATCTATGATATTTTATTTGAGTTTCAGAAATAATTTTATTTTTATAAGTATTTGATTTTTAATAATATCTTATCGGATAATATCTTAGAAGCCAACTTATCATGTCTTGACAATGTCTTTGTTTTCCTTATTTGGTGTATATATAATCGAACATACAAATGCAAACTATTATCTGTCTTCTGTATGATATCTGTAAGGTGATATCTCATAATTAATACGTACGATAAGCTGACTTTATAAAATATACAATTAAAATGTACATTAAAAATTACGAGAAAATCTCTTATAACGATGATAAACAATGTCATAATTCCACCAGAAATAACAAAGATTGATGAAGGTGTTTACGTGCATTTCTCACAATGAACGCTCGACGTTGCTTCAACGATCTTTCGACGCCAAGATCGATTATTTGAATTAATTCATGTTAAATTAGCAATTGCTTGTCCTTTTATGGATTATCGCGTCCGTGTGAGACAAGAAAGGGAAGATTAATTAATGTCAGATTAATTAATCTTATACAGCGTAAAAGGTATTTAAGGTTCAGCAAGATCAGAGCCATGTAATGTCGGCTGAATATAGCGAGGTATTGTATTTCTCACATCTATGCCGGATACAAGGGGGTGGTTCCATATCCCCGGTAATTATGGGCCGTCGGCTATTTGGAAATTAATCGGGTCACCTGTGTTACTCGCAGTGACAATCAACGGTAATTACAACCGCGAGCAATGAAATTATTTCAAAAATTCTTTAAATTAAATATTTCTTATAAATAAGATTATTTTGATATAAATAAAAATAGTTCCTAATTATCTATCAATTATATTAAATCAACGATTTTTTCAAAAAATTTTGTTCTTTTAAAAAATATCTAAATCTGAGAGACTTCAGTTTTATGGAAAGTTAACTGCAAAAAGTTTTGCGGAATAGTAAAGTGACAGAGAAAATAAAATCTATCATTATTTCTAATAGTTTGTACGATCAATACAGAACTTATATGTTACGTAAAGAGTAAATTGCTTTGCAGGGACGCTCCAACAGCGAAGAATGTAGATTAGTTAATTAAGCTTTCTTATCCTATTTATTATTTTTAATTGGTGCTAAGATGATCAAAAGAGTATGGAAAATGAAAATTAATTATGAGTTTGTCAATGTAATAATTAACTGTAATTTATGTATGAAATTAAGGCGGAAAAATCAAATAGCTTTAATTTAAATGAATCGTTTACGTTGAATTATAATTATCTGGTCAAATTTCATGTTTGCATAATGAGTAAATTGCTAATTGCATGGATCATTTCATATTGTTTATGTATATTGTACAGAAATTCAAGTTTAACCGATTACACGTGGGCAATGTTATTGCCTAATAACCGTAATGCTAATTATTCTCCCGTTTACATAAACATATTGAAATTATGTTTTCCTTGATACAAAATCATTATTAAATTATTAAAGGGAGAAATTGTATATGTACATGTTTAAAATATTTAAAACGTTATATTAACGCCAGCGTTAATTATTTCGTTAATTATTGACCATAAAATATTAGTACTATGAAATATTACAATGTAAAACAGTTTTGCATTTATAATTTAATAGTTCCAATAGATGCCCGACAAATGAATCCATAAGCGAGTATTGAGTGGACACCATCTTCAATTGCAGATATAACCAACAAAAGAGCCGATATGGCGCGACGCTCGTTTGAACAAAGTGTTATCTTTATAGTGCTATCAAGAATCAGCTAGCGTGGTGTCAAACGTTTGCCCATTATGTCTGGTAACCTTGACCCGATATTCGGATAACTCGTCGACAAGGCTAACGACTCAACCTGACAGATTACATCGAGACTGCCTCGATTTATGCATATGTACGTGGCCACGCCAGCCGTTTGTATACATGCATAGTCGTTGATTCGCGGAGTACCTACTGAAAATTCTTCCTAGATTTATGGTCCAGGGTCGCGTCTACATGCCACTCACCAGTGCAAAAATGAAATTGCGATAATAATTATGACAATTTTATCGCTATTCAAGTGCAAGTGTACACGTCACGATCAAACGTGCACATTTCATTCTTATCTTTGAATTATTTCAATATTATCGGGGACTGACTGTAAGCTACTAATACTACTAAAGGATATTTTCCGTTTTACGTACAAAATTAATGCGCATGTTTTTTAAGATTCTTTTATTTACTAATTATATTCAAAATACAAATAAATGTGTACATTTAATTTTTTATTATGTCGTTCTCTTTACTTCAAAATTAACTTATACAACTAAAAAAATTAAATTTCCTAGAAAGGGAAAAAATTATTTTTTAAATTGACACAAAATTATAGATTAATCAAATAATATTGGCAAAAAAAATTTCTTAACATGTCAAATGTCATTTTTATCAATTTTATTTCATAACTCTCTTAAAAAGTCATAACTCACTTTAGATGACTGATAAAGCAATGTTTTCTTAACTCATTTATAATAATTTAAATGCAGGAATAGCACATCTGCCTGCATTGACGCATTGCAGGCTCGTGTATATTTACATACGGTTTTTCAGGGCAAGTCGATCATCATTCGTAACTGTTGGAGCTTAAGAGCTTAGATTAGATAGCAGGAAGCGACGTACAATTTGACGGAGATCCTACTCCTATATCTCTTACGACCGAACTAGCGCAAGGCCGGCAGCGGTTTCTCGTCAGAATCATCTTGCCAAGAGAAATCTTTACTTCTTGCAGTCCGTTTTCTTTCGTAAAATCCATTCTTTCATTTTATCTTACTCGCTCTAACATGTGTCAGACTATGTGTGAACTGTGAAGCTTTAACTTATATACGCTATACATTGTTCGCTTTTATCACGCAACGTTTTGAATATTCGTATAAATCAACTCTCGAGTAAAAATACAGTATAGTCAAAATTAAACTTTTAAAACGATTCAAAATTTTATTATTTCTTCGAATATTTTTTATTTATATTTTTTAATTAAACAAAATATTTTTGTTTTAAAGTTAAATAATTATGACATTTAATAAGAACATAAGAAAAAATAAATTCTAATTCACTTGGTTCAAATTAAAAACCAAAATTTTATTTGCCATCCGCTTGTATGAAAAACCAGAATTATTTATTTCTGTCAGTATTTATCGTCGGATTCTGAAATAAATTTAGACGGCTCGTCGGAAACTAGCATCTATTACTAGCATGATACGCGTTTTCCTGCATTATAATTTATATCACGTGAACAACATCTGTGAGAAATCTGTTACAAAGTAAAAAAATATGTTTATATACGCGTTATTGGAGAAATTTTTTCACGTAGCTACATTTATCACAAATCATGGACTGAGTATAAAATTCAGCGTAATATTTAAGGGTATTAAACAATAGAAAGACTTGTCGAAAAAATTTGTGGATGAAAGGAAAATATATAATATGTACATAATTTCTTTTGTAGCAGTTTGCCTGCAATCATCATATAGATACTGTTGCATGTAAGTATACATATATGTGTGTTATTCATACGTATATAAGTATGAATATAAACATATATATGTGTATACACTGTATACACATATGTAATCATACATGCATAGATATATATGATTGCAGACAAACTGCTGCAAGAGAAATTAATCCTGGGTTTGCCATTCTAAACTTCTAGAGTTTCTTCTTTCCGTCTTCTCTATATCTGTATTTCCACGTACCTGTCGCGTATTTGCAAGCGAGATATTATACTCGCGTTTGTCATACATTTACATAAATTATAAATAAATGCATGTGCATTAATAATTTAAGTTACGTAAAGATGTATCTACGCTCGTACACTCATAAAGGATTTAATTAGAAAAATAGCAGATAATATTTTCCAAGAAAAATATGAATAAAAATATTAAACCACTAGACTCTCTTTTTGCAATTTTACACAAATAAATATTAAAAATAAAATAAAATAATATTTTCTTTGTTGGATAATTAGAACATTAAATATAGAAATATATTTACTTAGATATTCTCAATTTTAATATTTTATAAAATATACTATAAATATAACACTATTTAACACCTAAATTCTTTCGGAAGTGCTGTAGAATATATCTCAAAAATTTTTTCGCTAAGCACAATATGTACAGAATTTGCATGGCATGTCATTTTATTATGTCAAGTAACTTTTGCTGTACCAAAGTTATTTTTGTAAAAGTGTAATAAATTATAGTAATTACATTTGCGCGTTCAATAAAGAAACATTTATTTCCATTAAATGAATAAATTTAAAATACGAAATTTGCCTATGATTTTTTTATCATAATTCATCGAAACTAATTCATGTACTTTTAATTATATTAATCATGAGGATTACATTTCGTTTCATTTATCGTTTCATTTATTTCGTTTATTATAGTGCAATTAATCACTCATGTACTTTAAATGCGAGATATTGAAGACTACCTCGAGAGTACATGTGTGACAATATCTGACTCTTTTCTGAGTTCACAGGCATTACAATCGTAACGCAAGAGTGATGACATGCAAATCCATATTACTATATCGTGCCAGGTTCCGCATCGCATTCCAACTACCGCTTCCGTTCAGTTCCACGTACCATCGTCGTTTTGTTTCCAGAACGTGTATGGCATAGAGCCAATGGGTTAGTCCGCAATCATATCATCCGTAGAATATCAAATCATCCGGGAGTCTTCTCGTATCGAAACTCGAAATGCGTAAATCACGGTAAAGCGAGTTGGACGCGGTTTCAGTGAATTTTGATACCCAATCATTCGTCGACTCTCCGCGACAGACAGATTGCACGACAGACAGTCCGATATTACGTTCCACAAGTTGTACGCTCTATAAACTACGTCCCCGAAGCACCAGAAGTCGTCAAATAGCTATAAATCCATAACGTCGGTTATTTGCTCGCGCGAATCGCCCATAAAGTGTCAATATAGTCTCGACAGATAATGTGCATCTCTATCGGGACGACCTTGGGGATCACGCTGATCCATAAAACGTATAATGATTGACACCAAGAACGAGTGACGACGTAAGATACCATCATCCATCACTACGGCTGACAATGCGTAAGAAATATCTGGAGTCGGGCATGTGAGAGATTCGACCGAAAGGGGACCAGTCTACTGATAAATGGAGCTTGCGTTCACAGAGCGAACATCCCCATTACCGTGGAAGATGGGGTTCGAATGTACTTGGCAACATCTCTGTGAGAGTTCGCAGTGTCTGTAGTTGTAGGGAGGCGACAGCTGCAACCGTTCTTAAGCACTTTAGCAAACAATAGCGTGGATCGAGGACATAGGGGTAAGCGCGTGGCAAAGTGAGCTGAAAACGCGATACGTGGAAACACGAAGATAGGTGGACGAGGGAGATAATCGAGGACAGGTACGTGCTGTAACCTGTTCTAAATTCCGACGGGAAATGTGATCTGAAATGAAGCATCTCCAGAGGTTTTTACGTGCCTTGGCTTGAAAATAAGAGCAGAAACGCAGCTTCCTCTGCTCGCGTCATAGAAACCAAAATGATCTTTGAACGAAAAAAAGAAAAAAAGGAAGCAAAAGTGCAAGAAGGCACTGATGGAGTAGGTAAACATTTCTTCCTAGATGTACTTAGTGAAGACGGCACTTTAACCGGAGAAAACGAAGCAGTGGGCGGGAAGACCTGACGTGTTCGCCCCAAAAAAACTCTTGAAGATGAAAAATCATGCTCGCGCGTCATTGCGTAATATCCTACAACTAACAGTCGAATCATTCCTGAAACGAAAGCCGATTAAACCTTAATTGAAAATATTATAGCTTAAAACTCGATTAGAATTATTGTACGCAAAAGACGAATGGCATTTATATAGTGTCGGATATTCCTCGTAAAAAGGAATATGATCCACACAAAAGCAATAAATCCCGAATTGATGAACTGGCTAACAGATAAATCGGGTTAATATGATAGCATTCAGCCAAGTTGAGAGAGATTGCACTATGGTGGAAGTTCGAAGTTCTCTAATCCATAAATAGAATCTCTAAATACAGTCTTCAAAAGAGGAGTAGTAGCCGCTGGAAATTCGATTGCCACTTGAGCTGCAGATTGCGTCGCATTTGCATGTTCGTTCGCATAGAGCATCGTACACGCAAATGGAATATGGCTATGGTTATGTATGATAAAACACAATGGAAATAAAACATAACTTCAATGGATAATATATATATATATATATTCTCAATATAATACATTCTCTTTGTCGGCTTAGACGCGAATTTAAATTAACGAGAAATTTATGCTGCTTTGGACGTTCTCAGTTAAAGTCACTAAATATATATGCATAAGTAAACTTATGTCAATAAGGTTCACGAAACTTTTGCGAATCCTTATCACTCCTTTATGCGTTCCTTGATCATTTTGAAAGTTAGTCAGCAAGGACTATATTAACTGCGCGCGCTTAAGACAAAGAGATACCTTATCAGAACTTTAGCGGCTTGCGCAAATGTAACTATAATAATTTAGCCGAAGTTATTGAAGCGTTTAAATGTATTTGAATTAGAATTTGTGTGTCTTAAATGCACAAGATGGAAAGAAAGAACCTACTAAATACAAATTAATAGCATTACATTAAGTTATAATTTTCTAATTAACAATATAACTCCTACTTAACAACATAATGTATAACAATATGTATTATATTACATTTTTACATTGTTGAGTAGAAAGTTATCAGGAATGGGAGAAGTAACGTGTTATTTATAATGTCCGTTATTTATAATTACCGTTACTGTTATTTTCCATTTTTGAAAATGATATTAATGTAATTCTTTTTGTTAGTTTGTAATGGGAAAAAATAAGAGACTGATGATTTTTTTATAAATGCAAAGAATTTGCAAGAATAAAATAATAGAAATAAATATTGAATCCAACGTATTCATCAAATGCAGCTGATTACATTGCATCCGCTTCTTTATTTAATCTTCTACATTTATGTTTACTAATTGTTTATTTTCATTCTCCATTAAAGAGATTTTAATTTAAATAAAAATTTTAATTTAAAAATATCAAGTCGTACACATCGCAAAAGTCAGCAAATTTGTAATTCTGAATTTCTGTCATTTCTAACAGCAATATGCAACGGTCACAGTTTCTGTTATTATCATTTTATATTCGATGATG